AGGATTTCTTGGTCTTTTTTTTAATAACAATTATGTATAAAACTATATTAAATTTCTGAAAACAGTTTCTAAAAACATTTAATCTTGGGAATTGTGCAACCATTATTGAAATAGAGCCTACCTCAGAAAGATAGCCTCGTTTCTAAAATTGTTCAAAGCTTTGGGTACCGGGTATTTCACAGAGGGGCACACTCGACTCATCGGTATTTTGATTTGCCAAATTATTGATATTTTCCAATTTATATATATATATACATATATGTACATACTTGGAAAATATCAATAATTTGGCAAAACAAAATACCGATGATAAAATTGGTTTTCTTGAACTCATCGAACGTATTTATTATTTATACATATATTTAAATATGTATATTTAAGGTCAAAATTAAAAAATAAAAATATTCTGGGTAAATTTATTCCACTACAGGAGATTTAATAATATTTTAATACTAATTTAAAACCCTAGCCATAACATACAAATTACGGCATATATTACAAGCCATTTAGCAATAAGTAATTATAGCGAAAATATGTACCTAAAAGTTATTTTCGATTTCCTTTCGGGAATTTATTTGCACCAAGTTCACCTCATTACTTAACCATATATTTGCACTTACCAATCGACTTTGCGCATCACATGTTTATTGTCTGTAAATGTGCCGCTCATGAATATCTAATTTAATTCTATTGAGTTGCCCAAACAGAGTACACTCTGCGGGTCCTGCCGGACGGATAAACCCCGCCTCAAGACGAGACTATTGGCACTTGAGGAGAATTAACATTTAGCACGGTTAATGCCAAACACAAGACATCAAAGTGAAATCAAGGGCTCGTCCTGGGCAATCTCCTAACCCGTTGGATTCGGTGGTGTGCAGCCATGGAAATTTGCATAACATTGGCACAAGTCAAAAAACCATCCCATCCCATCCCATCCCTCCTCGCTTGTCGCTTTTCCGGGACACCCGCTTAATTGAAAATGCCAAAATTATGCAAATCATCTCAAAAACTCAGATGCGCATCATTTGGGTTACATTTGCTGCTGCCGGACCGAAATTCGCAAGCCGCCGGAATGAATTCCGGAAAATTTATGCATTTGCCATTTGTGCAGTTTGCAACGTGCACTCCCTGAATAAAATTATGCGTTTATTTTTTATTTTCATTTCGCCCAGCGAAGCAGATCGCAATCAGTGTGAGAAATGATTTTCTTTTATTTAATTTCAGATTGAAGAATGCATGATTATCAACGAGGAATGTAAAAAATTATAAAAAAAATAATTAAGAATGCATGAAGATCATACAATTCCATTGAATATTAAATCTTTTAGAATAGAGTTTTGATTTTAAATGTATTCCTATTCCCATAGGTTAGGTACCCATTCCATTTCCTATGACATAATGAAAAAACTAAACTATAGAAAAAGTTTAATTCCGGAACTTCATAGTTGGTAGTTGAGCTCTGAGACTTGACCTCTGAGACAAATACAAACCAGATAGATTGAAGGTACCAGAGTTTATCATTCAATTGTATTTATATAGTGTACTTGTATATGGGTAATTCTCCGGTGTCGAATGCGACATTCGTACGCATTCAAACTAAAAAAAAACATGTGCCAAGACTTCATCTTAATTTTACAAAATTTGAAACTTATAGTTCTTGGTTGGGCCCTTGTTTGTTTTCAAGATATTCACTAAAATGTACTGCATTCGCACGCGAAAAAAAAAACAGAAGTTCCATTTGCAAGAAACCAGTTTAAGCTCTGATTTCAGCGAAGCGTGATAAAAAATTATAATTATGTTATGTTATGCTATGTTTTTTGTTTGACTTCAAAATATTTAGCAATTTTTGTTAAATTCATTTTTAGTACCAGTCGCAGGCGTCATTTTAAATCAAAACTGTACGAATATTGGTAATCGCATATGTCCTTTTGCATTTTATATTAACTCTTTGGATTTTCTGTGTGATATAAAGAAGCAAAAGTCGAAGCAAAATGCTTTTGTTTAAGAGATCGGCATCAAAACAAAACATGCCTTTTTATATGACTTTTTTTATAAAAATAAAATCGATTATTTCGAAATTAATTTTAAAAATGAAAAAATTCTTTTAATCTTGATAAATTTAACCAATTTTGTATGTAAGCATGTTAAAAATAATCTCATTTAAGAACTCTTTTATATATTTGTCCGAAAACATTCTACATAATTTTATTAAAAACTACAAGATACGTATTAGGAACGTATTTCTTATAATTTCGAAATATTTCATGACAAACTTGGTCTTCTTGTAATAAAATTTTGATAGTGTAGTTCTTAAAGACTCTGAAATCTAGTGTTTCAAACAAAAATATGATCTACAGGATATCTAAACCGATTTGCTTCTTATGGTAAATAAGTTAAAATAATGGTGATCATTGTATTATTTTGTTTTTATAAGAAAAGATAGTATATATTGATGAAATACTTAATGTAGAAAAAGAGTAAAATTTAAAAATAAAATTGTTTAAAGGCACATTTTTTGTTTTTTGACTTCTTGTCGCCTACCTAGCTTCCTTTATATCTGTTCAAAAGATCATTAATTTCTCGACTAAAGCGTCGTTATTTTATAGTACACAATGGTTCGATTCATGATTGATCGTTAAAAGTTGAGGAATAAGAAACACATAATAACGATGCGTTGATGTCCTTGAAAATGCCAAAACTTTTGACTTAAGTATCAGAGCCGTTTTATTACTTTTTGCAAAACAAATTTAAGAGAGCCGAACTGTGACTCTTGCGATTACTCCCCGGTCTCTCTCTCTTCCCTTCCCTCCCCCTGAACACTTTTTGAAAATTCTGCGGGAAGGTCAGCGAAATTTTATTTTTTATTTTGCTCTCATCTGAACGAGCACAGGGCACAGCATCGCCGCCTGTATCCTTTGTGGCAAGCTACCCCTTTCCTTGATGTCCGTGACAATGACAGGCCTTTTGCCAAAATGTAGCATTTATAAGGACTTCAAATCGCAGAGTTTTCAACGAAAATAAAGCGAATAAAGGGTTGATGTGTGAGTTGTGAGCCGTTGGTGAAAGTCCAGCAGCCCAGCCGGTGATGCCCTACTGTGCGTTCCCCTGTACTTTTATATATTTTATGTACTCCATGTACATAAAACTCCAGCCCAGAATTCGCCGGGCCTTCCCTCGTCAAGATCCCGAATCGCAAATCAACTTGCCGAGTGACCGAAGGCGACTTCTTAATCACAGGCACGTGTTCCAAAAAGGATGTGCTGACAAGGACAACCAAAACAAACTGGAATCCTGTCCGGCATGCCGGTGGTCAAGCGGTCGCCGAGGGGTTAACTTCTGCCGGACACGCGTCCAATGAGTGTCAACTGAAACACGCAATGAAAATCCACCAAAATGTAAATGTGGAAATGGCCTGTGGTCAAGGGGCTGGCCGCAAAGCGATTCGGACAAACTGGTTTTCACCGGAAAAACGCCGCCTGGAAAATTGTGTGAAAATGCGGAAAGCAACAGCTTACTCTATAATTAAGCGGTTAAGCTTTGGGTATTTGGAATTCAATAATTGCAGGGGATGGACAATTTCCCAAAATAATGAACATTTTAAATTATTAATTGCATTTTTGGTTCAAAAAGTTTCGTTTCTTAAATACGTTACGAGCGTAATAAGCTTCCTAGAATATTTTGTTTACATTTTTATCTGTATTTCTGCTGTGAATATCTTGAGATTTAAAGCAACAAAATGTTCACTAATATTTCCCGTATGACTTAAATTAAGTGCAGTATTTTGAATCCTTGGAATTGTATTACTTGCTTTATTATTACTCACAGTTTGTGATTTTCAATTTCGCTCTTTAACAAAGAAAAGTTGCAAAATTTTTGATAACCCAGACCAGGATTCGATCGATCGACGCCCCTTTAACCCGATTGAAACCCTATACACCCATCGATCATGATCGCGCTTCCTTCCGCAAAAAATTCCCACAGTGCAAAAAATCGGCGAAGGATTGCGATTGAGATTAGGAAAAGGAACGGATCGCAGCGAAAAAGGAAATTTACGAGCGATCAAATAACCGAGACCCAGGTATCAAAGGGTGCAGAATCTCCGGCAAGAGGTCTTTGGTCCTTGGGTTCAAATGTGTCACGTCTTATGATGTCACTGCCGGCAAAGCTGCAGCGGCAGCAACCCCAAAGGCGGAGATAGTCATCAGACTTCCTCGTCTCCGTCCTCATCCTGACCCTGATCCTCGCCGGGTTCACAGTAAATTACGCGCAGAGGTGAAATGCAAACAAAGACGGTCCAAAGGTCTGCTTGAGGTCTGTCTGGAGCAACCCTTGCTCTCCTTGCCGCTTTTCCTTTTCCAGCCTTTTCCCCCTTTTCTAACGCTCCTTTTTTTGTGACGAATCTAATGATTTTTGCCTCAAACTGAAGCGATTTTCATTGACCCAGCGGAGGGGTGGGTTCAGAGTTCGTCTTGGCTGAGTCTCAGTCTCTGTTATGCCAGCTTGAACTGCTAAATGCGTTCACCCGTGAAGACTCCTTGCCAAGGAGAGGTCCTGGTTTTTGGGTCATTGCCGCATTAAGCTGAATTTATAGCCATCGACTGCCAATAGTCATGCAGATTAATGAAGGGAAGGGGTGCCCAAAGGTGAACCATTCAATCATTCCATTTTCCATGGGTCAGACGTATAGTATAGATGGGCCGGGATCAAGAATGTAAGCGAAAATTGTGCAGAAAGTATTATTCCTCTGCTAAAAACCAATCGATTAAAGCGAGATTTACAGAAAAATATGTTAAATATACCTATATATGTATATTAAAATCCTACATTTTCCATTGATAGTTCTTCAAAAACCACCTAAAACTCAGATTTATAAAATGCTTAAAAGAATGCAACTAAGTATTTTCAAATCTTAGCAAACAATTTAATGCAAGTTATTGTGTTGTTTATATAATCCAATATAAAGCAGGTAAATTTTGAATTGCTAAAACAATGAATTATGAACCACATCTCACCAGCAGGCACATATTTGCCACAGCATCAAAATTATATTCATAAAAGCAAAAAGAAAAAGGGAAAATGGACCAAATATGAACAGACTTTTCACTCATCCACTGAACATGCAAATGACCGTTTTGCGAGGATAACAAAGCCCAGGATCTTTCAAAATAATTTGATGCTACATTTGTATGCTGCACTGGAGCAGGGGCAGGACCAACAGGGGCTTTGTGGAAATTGGGAGTAGACCAGCACGCTGACCCGAAATTATAAAGTTACAATAGCGCCTGGCGAGGCAGAAACCCTTTGCTACCCCCGAACGAATCGAATTACAGGGAATATGCTGGACCGAGGATCGAGGACCGACCCTTGGACAGCGCTACGTTGTCAACTGCTCTGGATCTGGTGGGCTTGTTAGCTGAGCCGCCCTTCGGGGTTACGACGCTCGTTTGGGCATTCAAATTGGTCGAGGATTTGACCGAACAAATCCCTTCGGCGCATGTGCAGCGGGATTAAATGTTGGACTCTGTGCAGCTTTCGGAGCAAACTGGTTTTGGATTTCCTATGCCCCGGGATGCTGCACGGTGACCGATCCGTCCCTCCATCCATCAAGGTACGTGGACCCTGCTGAGGGGCGAAAACAACAAGTCATTTGAAGTTTTAATAGATGCTGCATCCTTTTGTTGGGAAAGTAGCTAAAACTGGTTCCAGCAGCCAGCCACCAACCCTTTTGTCCAAACGGATATTTTATTTTAATTTTACTTCCTTCAATTCAAGCCAGTTTTCCCTGGGAAAAGTCTTATGGGATGCCAGCCCTTTTTTACAAGAAATTTTACAATTTATTTTGGTTGAATTTATCTCCTGCCGCTTAATGAACACTTTGGGCTATGGCATCTTGAGAGCATTTTGGGAAAATAAAAAGGCAAAATTCATAATTGTGAAGACAATAAATTACCAAGGGATCTTGTGATTACTAAACTATAATATGAAACTATAAATACCAGCCGAAACAGAAGGCAACACGGAAAGATAAACCCAAATTTGCCACGCGTCAATAATGCAGCTTCAACCCTTTCACGCACTTCAGCTGACCGCTGGTCTGCACCTAAAAAAATATAAAACTTTTGTTTCCACCCTTACCGCCCTTCGGCGGACAGGGGTCAATATGCGGCACGCGCGAATGGTCAGGAATCCTGCATCCTGCAGCCGCCAGGACGAGCGATTGCAAACAAAGCGAGAATTTCATTTCGCAAAAATAGATATTATGCTTTCATTAAGAGCGCTTTGTTATGTAAATCACGAAATAAAAGCGAAATGACCAGAGATCGGAAATAAAAATAAAACATGGTCTAAAATTAAAATATTTTAATACAAAAAAATAATAATAAACATCTATTCTAAGGGAACTTTTATACATTTAAATATGGGAAAGCAGCCAATTATTATTATCATTAATTTGTTTTGCAAGATTTCTTATTTTTTTATTTACATTTTCCCGCAACTTTGTCCTTGATAAATCCCGCCAAAGTTTCAAATACAAACAGTGTTGTAAAATGGTTCAAAATTACAACAGTGTTGACATCGAACTGCTTACTGGAATTAGGTTCTGCATTACCGATTATAATATATCTGAACTGCTTTGTCGACGATGATTCCGTCGTATTATCGATATTTCGATAGCGATGGCGATATAAATATATCGTTTTCGGGCAAATTATCGATATATTAATGTTGACATGTTTTCAACAACAACAACAACTACGAAAAACATTCCGCGATTTAGGTTTGTTTTTATAGTTTTATATAAAACTCAATGAAGCCAAGTACAGATCAACACTCACGTTGAGCTTAAGGCGACACTCGAGATTGTGTAAACACATTATTTAATTGTCTTTTGTTTAGATTTCACGATGGATGTAATGAACAACAACACGTTGATAGAAAAAAAATCGACAACATGCGCTGAAAAACGAGCCAATACTACCTTTGAGGATAAGGAAACAAAGAGACTGAAGACGGACAACGACCATGTGGACATAGCGCCGCGCCCACCTCCTCAGAGCCCAAAGAAAAGGCTGCAACTTAATGGGAAACCCAAGCACAACAAGGATCTTAACTTCGTGTACGGCAACTATAAGAACTACTATGGCAAGCGAATTCTGGATAAGGAGTTTCATGACATTCGCCTGGACATACTGGGCTCGCAGCCGGAGATGTTCCGCCAAAAACAGCTTCTGGACATCGGCTGCAACTCCGGCCATCTGTCAATCCAGATAGCCCGGAAATTCGGAGTGAAAAGCCTCGTGGGTCTGGATATAGATCGCAGTCTGGTCAAGGATGCGCAGACCACCATTAACCAGCTAAAGGGTCAGACCGATACTGGAGCTGGCCACGGATTCCCACACAACATACGTTTCGTCCAGGGCAACTATGTGCTGGAGGACGATGTACTGTTGGAGATCGAGCGACCGCAGTTCGATGTGATACTCTGCCTGTCTGTCACCAAATGGATACACCTAAACTTCTGTGATGCCGGCCTAAAGCAGGCCTTCCGCCGCATTTACCATCAGCTGCGCCCTGGCGGCAAGCTGATCTTAGAGCCGCAATCCATTGATGGCTACAAGAGGCGCAAGAAACTTTCGGTGAGTGTTGAATCTTATCAGTTAAAATCAGTGGACCTAATTAGGGTTTTTGGTCTTCAAATAGAAGAATGAGATTAAAAAAAACCTCAGATCAGTACGTCTTGCAAGGTTTCCGTAGGACATTCGGTAACACTTTCCAGTTTAATAAATCATTTCCAATGAACGTAAAATTTAATTAAATTCCTTGCTTCCAGGAACAAATTAGGGCAAACTACAATTCCATACAATTCTGCCCTGAACAATTCACCGAATATCTTCTGAGCACAGAAGTGGGCTTTGCCAACATGGAGCTCATGGGCACTCCCGACCACTGCGAGGCCGGATTCAAGCGTCCCATTCAGATCTTCACAAAAACGTGAAGATGCCGTGAAATAGGAGAGACAGAATTTAGCTGTGATTTGTCGGTCAAATAAAAGTACTTTAATAAATATAAAAACAGAGAAAGGTGAGATTGGGTATACTTATTGTCAAGTCGAACGTTTATTTTTATTGGGCGAGCTTGGAACCTTCTCCAAGATGTCTGGCAGCTGCCTTAGCAACTCTTCTGCGGTAAGTTTGAAGTCGCTGTCTGCCCAAAGTGTCTTTAGTTCGTTTAAAACGAATCCAAGTCGTATACCCTTAAGCCCATGGCCATTCAAAACATTGCCCCTAATGGGAAAGTCCGGCTTAACCCAGGCCTTGAGCTGATTATAGAGGTCCACTTTATTAGAATACTTTAACAGCTGCTCGACGTAATCACGATTGACGTACTGTTGGAGGCACAGCTTCTGGTAATCACGTAGGGCTGTGTATTCCGTATCGACCTGGTGGTTTAGTTTGAGAATAATTTGAATGTCCAATTCTAATTAATCATTGTGTTTGACTTTACCTTTTCCCGCTGCTGGAAAATAAAACGGGCCAGATCCCGTTCATAGGCAGAGAGCTTCAAACGCTTGTGCAACTCCATGGCATCCTCTACAGAGTGTAGCAGTCCAGATATGTACAAAATAGGATAGTGCGGCTTCTCAAACTGCTCCAGGACGCCGCACAGACGGTTGAACTCCTCCAAATTGGGATTTGCAGGCAAACCAATGTGCTCGAAGAGCTTGCAACGATGCATCTCCAGAAGTAACTCGGATCCAAAATTTCCCACAACTATCTTTTTAAGCTCCATCCAAATGCGCTCGCCGCTAATCCTGGCCAGACCTTCGGCATTCTCTTTTATAGCTGCCAGTGTGGCCTCATCGTGGTTCTTCGCATCCTTGGCTATGCGGCCGTAAAAACGAAAGTAACGCAAAATACGCAAGTAATCTTCCTTTATGCGAATGTCTGCCTCGCCAACGAATATCACACGACGCTCCTGCAGATCGTCGTACCCAAAGAAGTAGTCGTACACGGTTCCATCGAAGCCGAGGAACATGGAGTTGATGGTCAGATCGCGACGGTTTGCGTCCAGTTGCCAGTCGGTGGTGTACACAACATCCGCGTGCCGACCATCAGTGCGGACATCAATGCGCAGCGTTGTCACCTCAAAGTTCTCCTTGTCATGGATCCGGGGCGTAATGGTTCCGTGCTTTTCGCCGTTAGCGTTGATCATCCGTACCTCCTCCTTTTCGAACATAGCCTTCATCTGGTCCGGAGTCGCAGTCGTGGCAAAGTCAATGTCCTTTGGCGGAATACTCATCAGAATGTCACGAACAGCGCCGCCAGCGATCCGCAGTTCATAGTTGTACTTCTTAAACAGATCCACCAGCGCCTCCAGTTCGGGCGTGAATATGCTCCTGAACTCGGGTGTGTCTACCATTCGGAACGCTGGATTCTGGCGCATCCTTGGAGCTTTTCCCAGCTGGGCGATCGCCTCCGGAGAGACATCCCGCGTTCGGATTGGACTCGGCGCCATGCGGCTGCCTCGACGGATGCTTTGCGAAATAGAAGCGAATGCTTGTGTGGTCAGTTTGACGAGGCGAAATTGACCATACATCGAAAATATCAGAAAAAGAGTTAAATAGTTTCCTGTTCCTCAATTTGTGTTTTTAGTTTTAAGAAATAAAAAAAATAACTTCTTTCGATGGCAAGTGTGACCAGATTGCCAATGCAACAGCGGATACCCTATATTGGGAGAGTATATTAGACACGACACACGGAAAGATCGTAATTTCTTATAATATTATTTATTCGAGACCACTTTTATTCAATTTGTTTAAAACATATGTTTTTACATATTTATGTCAGGTCCCTTCCTTTAAAATTGACTAATACACGCGTAACATACAGTGAGTGTTTATTAATAATGTTTTCAATAATTTTTATTTTATTTAATAAAAAGTAAAATAACTTTTAATAATAAACAAGAAAGGAAGAAAACTTCGGCACGCCGAAGTTTATATACCCTTGCAGATAGAACTTCTATGACTTGGAATCTCAACAATATAAATTATATTTATTTGTGTTAAAAAAAAATGAAGTAATACCTGCTTTCATTTCATTCACCTATACATACACTTCTAACGATCGTTTGTATGGCACCTAACATATATGATATAGTCGTCCGATTTTCATGAAATTTGACACAAAATTTAAGACTAATACAAAATGGCTATACCTCAAATTTTATGAAAATCTGTTGAAAACCGAAAAAGTTATAATTTTTAATTGTATTAATTTTTCAATCGTTCCTATGGGAGCTATATGATATAGTAGTCCGATTTTCATAAAATTTTATGCAAAATTGTAGAGTATAGTAGAATGGCTATATCTCAAATTTGATCCAATTCTATTGAAAACTGAAAAAGTTAAAAACTTTTTTGGAAAAATTTTGCGATCATTCCTATGGCAGCTATATGATATAGTCGTCCGATCCGGCCCGTTCCGACATATATACGAGTGAGAGTATATAGAAGGCTAACTAGAAAGTTTCGTTCAGATAGCTTCAAAACTGAGAGACTAGTTTGCGTAGAAACGGACAGACGGACAGACGGACATGGCTAGATCGACTCGGCTGTTGATCCTGATCATTTATATAGTCGGAGGTGCCTCCTTCACTGCGTTGCAAACTTCTGACTGAAATTATAATACCCTGCAAGGGTATAAAAATGATAAACAAAATATGACATTTCATTCTCCGCTCTGAACACTTTGTTACTTTGACTTGGTCACACTAATAAAAACCTGTTACATTGTTTACCTCTTCGCTAAAATTTAAACCAATGCCACCGAGGTTGCCGCTCAATACAGTCAGAAACATCTTACAGCTAGGACAAAAAACTAGAACGATGAGCTCCCAACCAAGTGTGTATGTTACCCGTCCGGATGTGGATGCCAGCGGACTCGAGTTGCTGCGTAAGAGGTTTGTTTATGTTGCCTCTGCTAGCACCGGCTAATCAGTTTACTAAAATTAATATCCATAACACCTAACAGCTGCCAGGTAAGCACCTGGAGCGAGCCCCTGCCTGTGCCCCGGGCCGAGCTGATCCGTCAGATAGCAGGGAAAGACGCCCTCTACTGCGCCCTGACCGACAAGATCGACAAAGAGGTGCTGGATGCTGCCGGCTCCCAGCTAAAATGCGTGTCCACCATATCGGTGGGCTATGAGCACATTGACGTGGAGGAGTGCAAGAAACGTGGCATTCGAGTTGGATATACACCGGACGTGCTAACAGATGCAACTGCAGAACTGACTGTTGCCCTCCTACTGGCCACTAATCGGCGCCTGTTTGAGGCCAACAAGCAGGTGTTCAACGGCGGCTGGAAGTCGTGGGCCCCCATGTGGATGTGCGGCCAGGGTCTGAAGGGGTCCCGGGTTGGGCTTCTTGGATTCGGACGCATCGGGCAAGAGATAGCTGCACGCATTTTACCCTTCAAGCCGGCGGAGATAACCTACACGACCCGTTCGCCACGCCCGCAGGAGGCGGCGGCAGTCAATGCCCGGCACGTGGACTTTGAAGAGATGCTGCGCAACTCCGACTTTATCGTTGCCTGTTGCGCCCTCACTCCACAGACCAAGGAGATCTTTAATGCCGCGGCTTTCCAAAAGATGAAGTCCAACTGCATATTTATCAACACAGCGCGTGGCGGGGTTGTGGATCAGACCGCCTTATACGACGCTCTAAAGACCAATACAATCCAAGCAGCTGGTCTGGACGTGACCACCCCTGAGCCATTGCCATTGGATGATCCACTTCTTAAGCTGGAAAATGTGGTTATTCTGCCGCATATCGGCAGTGCTGATATTGAGACACGGAAGGAAATGTCTCGCATAACGGCTAGAAACATACTAGCCGCGCTGGCTGGCGAGAAGATGGACGCTGAAGTAGTGCTGTAGATGCCAACCAGAAATCCTGGGTGCTTATGGAATTGCTAATGATGTATAACCTTAAGACATAAATTCTTGGCATACATATGTAGACATTATTTTAGTTACATGCTAGCCTGAACGATAATAAAAGGCCGTAGTAATAAATAAATTTTCGGGAATCTCTTTTAAAATGAAAACATATTTGTGGGTGTAGAAGGAAATGGCATGATATCGACTTAACACAATTAAATCAAACCCTTTTATGCTTTTTGAGTAAATTCTTTATGGAACCAGCGATATATTTTCCCTCGTAATGGACAAAGATGTCAAGTAAGATTGTGGGAATATCATGACATCGAAGAGGATTAAGAACAAGAAAGAAAGCTAACATCGGCAACCCGAAGTCATGAATAATCTATCCATATACACGAAAACATTAAATATAACAAGAAAGGAAGCTAACTTCGGGACGCCGAAGTTTATATACCCTTGCAGATAAAACATCGATCGCTAGGAACTAATACAATATAAGCTAAAAATACTTATGTTAAAAAACAATGAAGTAATGCCTGTTTTCATTTAATTTACCTACACATATTCTATTTACAGTTTTACATACACAGTTTTTCATTTTTCCTCTATCTAACGATCGTTAGTATGGCAGCTACACATATGATATAGTCGTCCGATTTTCATAAAATTTTACACAAAATTTTAGAATAATATAGAATGGCTATATCTCAATTTTGAAAATCTGTTAAAAACTTTAAAAATTTAATTGTATTAATTTCTCGATCGTTCCTATGTCAGCTATATAATATAGTAGTAAAATTGTACACAATATTGTAGAATAATTAAAATGGCTATCTTAAATATTATGAAAATCTGATGAAAACTAAAAATTTTATTACTTTTTTTTGTAAAAATTTTCCGAACATTCCGCAGCTATGGCAGCCCGATCCGACATAAATACGAGTGAGAGTATACAGAAGACTAACTACAAGGTTTCATTCAGATAGCTTCAAAACTGAGAGACTAGTTTGCGTAGAAACGGACAGACGGACATGGCTAGATCGACTCGGCTGTTGATGATCAAGAATATACATATTTACTTTATACGGTCGGAATTAAGTCATTCACTGCATTGCAAATTAATAATACCCTGCAAGGTAATGAAAAACGTGGCAAACACATTGGACATGCCGACCGATGCCACTGAAGAACAAACTTGCTGTCTACAACTATTTCCGACCAACAAGGAAGTTTATAACGGATGCTGCACTGTGTGGCAAAGCGATAAATTGTACAAGGGTCGGCTTCCTTCGCTTTGTATTCACATTGCAAGCACGCGGAGTAAAGATAATGCACGACACGTTCCCTTTCTATGGTAGATTCAGAATTAATCATTTAAATTGTGCATTAATCTTATTCATTGAACTGTAGAAGTCCAAGGCTATACAAATCAATTTAGCTGCGTTTGCGGCTAATCCTCGCCAGGCGGCAATGGTTGATTTATATCGCTGCTGGGTGGTGGAACTGGTTGCGGCACTAAAGATGTCAAAACAGAAACTGTGGAAATAACGCCAATTTCTGATGGATCCTGAACTTCTTTTTTAATGTGCTCAGCGCTGATGTAGCCGCCACTTTCGTCCTGAAAGAAAGTGTCAACATTAATTAGATCGATTCAAAAACTTTGTCGAACCTTGATAGTTACCGTAACAAATACATCAACCGATTTGCCGGATATGATGTCCAGCACCTGCTGGGTAATGCCACTGCCGTTCATCGGCTCATCCTGCATACTATCCGCGTACTCGGACAGAGCTGGTCTCAAGTCAGGGCACTGCTGAAGGGCGTCTACCAGCTGTGCGGGTGGAAGGTGCAGGAGTATCGGCAGGGACTGCGGCTTCATTCGCTGCACGGTCTTTAGGAAGCCTTCCCAGATTACCTTCTGCCGCCAGACCTGCTTCATTATCAGCCGCTGCAGCAAGTTCATCACGAAATTGGCGAGGCGCGGATATAACGTCAGGCTCTGAATCGTGGTACGCATCATTAGAGTAGGAAGCGGAACTACCTCCACCAACTGTTGTAGTACAGCCATCAGCACCTCTTGGGTGTACAGCTCGCGTTCGGCCAGGCACAGGGAGGTGGCCTTTACGACGGCCTTTAAGTCGCAGACATTAGGGTCTATGGTATGCAGAGCCACTAGGAGATCCGTTGGCGACAGGGCCATCGTCTGGTTAGCGAACTCGGCTCCGATCCCGAGTAGCCGGTTGAAAACTTCCTTTACGACTGCCGGATTTAGTTTGATAAGCTTTGGGAGCACTGCAATGAGCTCCGCGCGAGACAGTCCACTTAGAACGGGTATCATCACACGCACATCCTTGACCTTGTGCTGATAGAGGTCTCGCACTCGCCGCACCAGATCCAGGTTGGGCACCGGTACACGCTCTGTCAGTATATAAATTATGCGTATCACGAAGGTTTCCATGCCCTTGGGACAATCCTCGATTAGTTGCAACAAAGTTGGGTCCTCCACGCCTAACTTCTTGATCGGATTGTCTAAGCTACGAAGAATCGTACGCTTTAGCTCAGCGGAGGTGGCCACAAAAACCTGGCTAATCTGCTCTACATAAACTGTGTCGTAAGAAATGGATAGAAAATTGGTAATTGTAACAAAGTAAAAGACCTCAAATCTTACCTTCCGGCTTATAGGGCAACAAGGTGAGGGCCAGACCAAGGCACACTTTGGCGGTATCCTCGCGCCAAGCGGACTCCGCTGTGGGTCGCCCAAATTCCTGGGTAAAAACTATAGCCGGTGGTGCCTCCAGCACTACGAACTTAAGCCACTCCAAAGCAAAATCATCTATCCGTGCGGGGAGGATTTTGTGGATATGATATAGGCTAACTAGGTGTGCTAGGGCACGATCCCGCAGATCTGCGCGCTCATGCACAGAGAAATTGAGCAACGCTCGCACAAAACGATTTTTCCGCGGAGGCCTAAGCACAGCCAGATCCTTGATGAGCTCCAGTCCATGCTGAGAGAACTCATTCACCAGGCATAGCTGCACCAGATGCCCTATTGAGTTCTCAGGAAGAATTGGCGCTTCTAGGTAAACGCGCCGCAGCAGTATAATTTTATCCTTGTGTTCACAGCGTTCGCCAATGCCAAAAATGAGCTGGTTGAGCAACTCATTATAGGCGTGATCCGGACGATTCTCGGTTTTCACGTAGGTGTGCCTGGTGAATCCCTGCAGTAGGGAATACTCCTCAAACAACCACGAAAAGGCTAAGTCGATGCGTTGCTTCACGTCTTCCAAGATGAACTCCATGATGCCGTAGCGGACATTATCCGGAAAAGTAGCAGCTATCACAGTAACCAGCTTGCGCCGCCTAGACGACACACCTCCTTTAATACACTGACGCTCTGAGTTAAGGATACGACGAACGGCATCTGTGAGGAACTTCTCCTTCAGATTACGTGGCAGAGGTTTTGTGATCTCCTGCAACTTCAGCGTCTTTGCGCGTTCCTTCATCTTTTCAATCACAGTCTGCTCGCCCTTGGCTCGCTCCATTGTCTCGCGCAGTTTCTTTGTTGCCTCCTCCTTGCGCAACAGTTCCTCCTCGCTCATATTGCGAGTGGATTCATCGTCGACTTCCATGGAAGGACTATCATTATTAGGCTGCACTGTTTGCACTTGCTTGATTCTCATTGGCGGCTCCCGACTGAAGGTGGCGGCACCTGGGCCGAGACGCTTCTCCGTCAACTGTTCGCCAAAGATTCTAGAAATGTTGCTCACCTGCTGCTGCAGAGACATTTGGCGGATCGGCGAGTACTCGTCTAGGAAAATTTGAGGCACTTCAGCTGGCAGGTGTGGCAGGAACTCCACAACCAGGTCCACAACGGTCTCAGGAAGGCGCAGATGCTCGGCCAGGAACTTCTCGTTGACTCGAGTTGACTTCTGTTTCTGTCGCTCCAACTCCTCGGTGTCCAGTTCCATCTCCCGTTGTTCACTGGCCAAACGCGCTTTTTTTGCCAGACTCTGGGCGGCATTCTCAAGAATGCGTTTCTGACGCCGTGCCGTTTCCTGCTTGTCCATCTTTGGCATTAACTTCTGTATCTCATTCGACGTCGAACCGAGGTCCACCAGCATACCGCGAATAGTGCCCGAAAACTCGAACGCGCCTCGATTCTTCAGAAGCGTCTGCAGCTGCATTTTAAGACTCTTGCGAACGGAACTCACTTGGGAGTCGGTGAGAGTGGGCGGCAGATTGGTGTTCAGTTGCTTAAAGGCCTCCACAACGGCTCCCATAAAAACAGGCCGCATTTTGGCCACCGTGCACAGGCTACTTGTGCAGGCGATCAGATTAACAGACGAGATATGCGTAGTGCCGTGGAACTGCAACATTATATCAAATATATTGTTTCCCTCCTCCTGCAGCTTCTGACGGCGGAAAAGCTTGCAGTGATCGGGTACATCTGCCAGAGAGAAGTCGCCCTCGCGCTTCAGACTATCCTCATCGGCAAAGCTCTGCAGCACAATGACGCCCTCAAGAAACTTAATGGCGTTGGTGCGAATGCCGTCATTCTCGTTGTCAATCATGTCCAAGACCTGCGCCTTAATAAGGCTCAGTATGTTCCAAGCCTGCTCTGCGCTGTCGCCTGGTTCCACGAGGTTGCACAAGTACTGCAAGCCATTCTTGTAAATGCTGCCACAGGCCTGAATCACCCGCTTGATAACCTGGGCTGAGTTGTCCCTCAATAGCATGGACACTATATTAATTACATGCGGCAGCAGTTCCACCTTCACTCTGCTACAATTAGAAAGTGAGATAATTAAAAATTGTGGGTGCCGCTCCTACGTCCCTTCCACCAGCTGATAGTTACCACACTTGCTCTACGAACGCGACCACCTGCTTGCGCACCTCCATGTTCTGGTCGTGGGCCAGCGAAAGCACAGGCTCCAGGAATTCCTCGGCCAGCTCTGAGCAGGAACCGAGGACTGTCTCCTGAATTTTGGCCAGCAGCTCACATTTGGCGGTGGCCGACGCAGCAGACAGTTCGTTGCACCACTCAATAACCTGGATGGGAATGGTGTAGAATAATCAGTGAAATCCAGTACTTGGTGGCTTTGACCCGAAAATGCTACTCGCCTTCGCCCTCGCAGTGGCAGTTTTTTCGTCTGTAAAGAGATTGGCCGTCTCCGAAACGAACTGACTGCGTCCAATTATGCTATCCATATTGAAAAGCTAGGATGATAAAGGATAAGAAGAAATGTTGAGAAATTTTCAAGCGGCGCCGGCAATCGAATGGTGAACTATCGATAAAAACTAGACAGTTCTGACACGTTTTCAATTTCACGAATAGTCTAGCTAATTTTTAAATAAAATATTTTATTTCAAGTAATAAAAATAGAAATCCCTAATGAGAAATAAAATAAAAATAAATATAGGTTGCTTACTAATTTTAAGGCATAATCAGATTTATTAGCTCGAAACATTGCTGTTGCCTTGCATTTTTATAGCTAAATTTTAATTATTATACATCACTGGTCGAGACCGATAGTGGGGGTGAGTATCGATAGGCTCGATGCATCGATTTGCTCACATTTCTTGGGTGTTTTTTTAAAAGCGTGAAAAACGCTTATTAAACTATTTAAGCCGCGTCACAAGCAGAAAAGTGCAGCTAACCGTTTCCCGTGCGCGACGCAGTCGAGGATTAGTTCGCCTACTAAGTCGAAGAGCCAAGAAAACATCTAAAAAAAACGCAGCAGCCACAGCTCAGTGTTATTGAGCGAGAGGGGGCGCAGCGGATAGGGTGTGTTTGCGTGTGTGTGTGAGGGCGCCGTGTGTATGTGTGCACCAGTGAGTGGGCAGAGGCAGCGGCAGAGGAGTAGCGCCAGCAGCAGCAGCAGCGGATGTTGCTCGTTGCCCGGACCCCGCAGAGAATACCAGGAAACGCAAATCTAAGCGACAGGCACACAACAAATAAACACTGGAAACCCAAGCCGCGGCCGTAGACAAGGCCTCCTGGAACAGCATAGCACAGCAGCAGCCGCAGCCGCGTCGGTGACCGCACCCTAATGTCAAATAGCCAAGCGAATGCCGGCAGCAGCTGTAGCGCGGTAGCGGATGAGTCCATCCAGCAGCACACCCCGGTTGCCCCTGTGGCAGCCCCAACGAATGCATCCTGTCCAGCCACGCCAGCATCGACACAGCAGCAGCAGCAGGCACCGCCGCACATAGTCGGTGCCTCAACAGCTGATGCGGCCAGTGGCGTTACGGTCGCTGTTGGCGTTGGCGAGGGCGTCGGAGTCGGCGCTAATTTGGACTCGTCACCCCGGGAATCCGGCGATGACTCGGAGGACGAGAGCGAGATCCTGGAGGAGTCGCCTTGCGGACGCTGGTTGAAGCGCCGCGAGGAGGTAGACCAACGCGATGTGCCCGGAATCGACTGTGTTCATCTGGCCATGGACACCGAGGAGGGCGTGGAGGTCGTGTGGAACGAGGTGCAATATGCCAGCCTACAGGAGCTGAAGTCACAGGAGGAGAAGATGCGGCAGGTGTTCGATAACCTGCTGCAGCTCGACCACCAAAACATCGTCAAGTTCCACCGCTACTGGACGGATACGCAGCAGGTGGAACGACCACGGGTCGTCTTCATCACGGAGTACATGTCGTCCGGTTCGCTGAAACAGTTCCTCAAGCGCACCAAGCGCAATGCCAAGCGCCTGCCGCTGGAGTCGTGGCGCCGCTGGTGCACCCAGATCCTCTCCGCACTCAGCTATTTGCATTCCTGCTCGCCGCCCATCATCCATGGCAACCTAACCTGTGATAGCATCTTCATCCAGCACAACGGTCTGGTCAAGATCGGCTCAGTGGTACCGGACGCGGTCCACTACAGTGTTCGGCGGGGCCGAGAACGGGAGCGTGAACGCGAGCGGGAGCAGGAACGCGAACGCGGAGCTCACTACTTCCAGGCACCGGAGTACGGCGCCGCCGATCAGCTGACAGCCGCCCTCGATATCTACGCCTTCGGGATGTGCGCCCTGGAGATGGCCGCCCTGGAGATCCAGCCCAGCAACAGCGAGTCAACTGCCATAAACGAGGAGACCATTCAGCGCACAATTTTTAGCCTGGAAAGCGACCTGCAGCGCGATCTAATTCGAAAGTGTTTAAGCCAGCAGCCGCAGGATCGGCCCAGCGCCAACGACCTGCTCTTTCATCCACTGCTCTTTGAGGTGCGTAGATCAACAAATCTTTTTGATCGATTCGAAATCAATTAAAATTAGGTATAAATCTATGTAGATTTCTACACAAATATGTATTTATTATTCGAGTTTTTTTTTGTATATTCACTAAAATTATTAGGATTTTTCTACGGCATGACTAACTTCAATGCTTTTTGCCACCCCAGGTACACTCTCTCAAACTGCTGACCGCCCATTGTCTGGTCTTTTCGCCCGCCAACCGCACCATGTTCTCGGAAACCGCCTTCGACGGACTAATGCAACGCTACTACCAGCCGGACGTGATAATGGCTCAGCTGCGGATGGCTGGCGGACAGGAGCGGCAGTATCGCCTTGCCGACGTTTCCGGTGCTGACAAGTTGGAAAAGTTTGTCGAGGACGTAAAATACGGGGTTTATCCGCTAATAACGTACAGCGGCAAGAAGCCGCCCAATTTTCGGTCGCGGGCCGCCTCTCCGGAGCGGGCTGACTCGGTAAAATCCGCCACACCAGAGCCAGTGGACACAGAATCGCGACGCATTGTTAACATGATGTGCAGCGTGAAGATCAAGGAGGACAGCAATGACATAATTATGACAATACTGCTGCGCATGGATGACAAGATGAACCGGCAGCTGACATGCCAGGTGAACGAGAACGATACGGCGGCGGATCTCACCAGCGAACTGGTGCGCCTGGGCTTCGTACACCTGGACGACCAAGACAAGATCCAGGTGCTGCTAGAGGAAACGCTTAAAGCGGGTGTCATGAGCGACGGTGCCGGGGCGGAGAGCTCAGGTGCTGGTGTAACCACTACTGCGACCATGGCGGCCCTGCAGCAGCTAGAGCGCAACTGGTCAATTTCCTCGGACGCGGACAAGCAGACAACTGCCGTAATGTATGTGTCTCAGGAGCAGCACCCGGATCCAGATGCGGATTTGGAGCAGTCGGGCACGACGAGCAATTAGAAGAGTATCAGCTTAGTATTCAGGGGCAGGTCGGCCGGCGCGTATTGTTTTTATTATATTGGGAATTACACATTACGATTTTATTACTACTATTATTTGTTATTTTATATATATATACCTATATATGTATATGTATGTATGTATTTGAAATAATATTTATGTATGTATGTACCATAAAAGATGTTGAACCAGGCTTCCAGGCTAAAGATTTCGATGGCATATATAAAACAAAGAAACACACACCACACAAAGGTGGGCTTCATTGCTTCAAGACAAGGCTGAAAATCGTTTGAGCAGAGAGTGCCCTAGGGTCGGTCGGAAATTGTAGCGGAAAACGTTGGTAATCTTTTCTCTTTAGTATTTATCTTGCTAATGCTAAAATAGTAGGAAAAACATGTTTGCTCATTTAGATGCATTGGTGTTGATAACGCCTTGAACTCACTTTCGATTACAACGATTTTTGGCCAATACACTGACTCACCCGAATAAAGACACACTTGTAAACGCAGCTAACGAGCTTACAAAAATCAAAGCATTCGCTTAGCACAACTCCGGGGAGAGAGTGCGAATAGAATTCGCAGTTCGCTCCCAGCGCTAGATTCCATTCGAATACAAAACTCCAAATACAACAGCACTACGAAGATGATTTTTTCTAGGACTTGTATATCAAATTTGATTACCTAGCCACACCGCGACGAGAACGAAACCTATAAAAGCAGTGGATTGTATTTAAATGTATTACAAATATAAACAAATACGCAGGGCCACGAAAGAGAATAAATAAATTATTAAACTAAAGAACTATATAAACACACAAGCAGAGAGCATGCAACAACAATAATACACAACAGACATAGCTACACACTATTATTAAATAAATAAAGATGGCAAACCAGCTGACTACGTCTAGAGTCTCCTTATTTTTTACTTAATCCCCTTCTCCCTATTACGATTGAGTTTATTTTTGTGTTGCGCTTTGTCCGGCTCATAAATAACAATCAATTAAGTTGGATATCTATGAAGCCCAATTGACGGTTGTACTGTTCAAGATAGAGGCATTCGAGGAAGAAAATTGTGTTCCTGATAGAAAGTACAGCTTAATTTTAAACAAAATTATTAATTCAAAACAAGTTCTTTTATTGTGTCTCTAATGAAAAGAATATGACAATTCAGTGGAATCCACTTAAGCTTGGTATTTAAGTAGTTATGTATTTAAGTAGTTATGTAACTACCCGTAGGGGGTACATATAACCAAAGACCTTAAAACAACAAGATGAGAAATGTCAAGGTTTTAATTGCCCGCTCTACGCTTAAGTCAAAATTATCATCCATTTTTATCAATTTATAGTAATATTAGGTTCAAGAACTAGAAACCTTGTACGCTTTCGCAAGGCGGCGAAAATTGGACTTATATTTTTGAGACGAAGCGGCGGGTCAGCAATTTTCTTTGCCGCACACATGAACTTCACTTAGTTTTTTACTCATACAAATGCAATTCTTGGTGCCGATCACTGATTTACAGCATTCAAGGGATTTCTATGGCACCCCCGAGTAAATGTATGTTTAAGCACACGCCTGTGCTGGAGCCTCGACCTCCTTTGGCTCCGGAGTGGTAGCCAACTTAATACGCTTGCACTGCCTCTCTTCTGGCTCGTCATCGCTAAAACCATCCACCACTGCAGGCTCCTCACTTTCACTCACTGCTGGCACCATTCGAACTGGTTGTTCCTTTTCATAAAGCTCCAAGAGCTTGTTGCCTTCGTAAAGGACGAACGGTAGAGTGGCTCGCTGATAATAATCCGGTAGAAGCTCCAGGTTGTTGATAACTGTGTCCAGCATGTGAGACTTCTCGCACCAGATTCCCGGTGCGTCGTTTCGCACTGGATTAATGTGGACATGCAGATGGTAGAAGGACGGCTGATAGTGGATGTACATGCGAAGCTGGTTGGGATTCAGGCCGTAGCGGTTGAAGATGGCGTCCTTTGCCGACTGGCGCAGGTTACGCAGCAGATCCAAGTGACTAGCATTTAGATCCCGAAGTGATTTTAGACCATGCTTATGGACAATACCCAGCAGATACAAGTTCTCTACATTCCGCCCGTCCCACTTGAGATCGGGCAGCAGGATGAAGCCCGTCTCCGGATCTTTGTCCTCGAAAACGATCCTCTCTGTCTCCTGCTTGTGCTCGAGTATGTTATATACCCATTCTAAGGAGAATTGGCTGGAGGAGAGGTATGGAAGAGTTATCCTTTCGTAGAAGTCTGGCGTCTCTCGAATAAGGTACTTTTGGCAAATGGAATACTTTTCTATGTGTTTGTCCGTGGCGGGATATATGACCGTACTTTTGACTCCTGCGGATAAATATCATGGACAGTTTAAAGCAATAAATATAGAATAACTTGATTATGCATACCACATAGATCTCTGCTGGGCACAACCTGAAAACTGCCGTAAATGTTGTTGACAAACTCCGTGTCTACCTTAAGGTCTGCGGTGAAATAGCTCGGCTTCTTCGGCGATTCCTCCGAGAGCGACTGAGTGGCGACGTCGCTTTCCCTATACGCTGTTGGAATTTATGTACTCGATTAGGAATTCATGGGCAAGAGATTGAACGAAGATGTACCATTTTTCTCGAAAACTACAATCGCGTCGTCCGTTTCGGAAAGGTCGGGGAAGGAGCCGAGCAAGGAAATGCTTTTCCGAACACTGTTATTGCTAAGTATCCGCTTTAGCCGGAACTTTGACAAGTCGTACGTCGGCGAGTTGACTGTGCTTTTCTCAGCAGGCTCCGGCATTTTTTGTCTTATTTTTTTGGAATTAATTAATAGAAAAGAATTTACTTTCTTGCGGCTTTTTCAGAGGCGCAGTGTGACCGTGGTTAAAAGTGCTAAGATACGGCTCTCGACCAGTGTTGGCTAAATGCGGCCGGTTTCTTCAATCATCCGCAGCGATTTCGAAAATCTTACTCTCGAAATGATCATAATTTTCTTTCCATTCGATTTGACCTATATTTTACATATATATTAATATATACACACATATCTATATTTATAGATTAAAAAATTATTAAGGTACGAAACATTAACATTAACTTTAAATCTTAATTTTACTCACTTAACTAACTAACTAATCGTCCTATCCGATGTGAAACAGAAAATTATTTTAAACAAGAAAGGAAGCTAACTTCGGCTCGTCGAAGTTTATATACCCTTGCAGATAGAACTTCTATGATTAGGAATCCATACAATATAAATTATATATATTTGTGTTAAAAAACAATAAAGTAATACCTGCTTTCATTTCATTCACCTCTACATACACTTCTAACGATCGTTTGTATGGCACCTAACATATATGATATAGTCGTCCGATTTTCATGAAATTTGACACAAAATTTAAGACTAATATAAAATGGCTATACCTCAAATTTGATGAAAATCTGTTGAAAAAAAGTTATAGATTTAATTGTATTAATTTCTCGACCGTTCCTATGGGAGCAATATGTTATAGGAGTCCGATTTTCATAAAATTTTGTCAAAATTTAAGAATAATATGAAATGACTATATCTCAAAGTTGATTAAATTCTGTTGAAAACTGAAAATGTTATAATTTTTTTTGTAAAAATTTTCCGATCATTTCTATGACAGCTATATGATATAGTCGTCCGATCCGGCCCGTTCGGACATATATACGAGTGAGAGTATATAGAAGGCTAACTACAAAGTTTCATTCAAATAGCTTCAAAACTAAGAGACTAATTTGCGTAGAAACGGACAGACGGACAGACGGACAGAAGGACAGACGGACATGACAAATCTTGTGGTAAACTTTAATTGCACAAGAAGCTGCTTTTAAAATATTGAAGAAAACGGCGGTAAGAAATCCTATGTGACCAGCCTGGGATATCTTTTCAGAATATAAACAAAATTTCTTAGTAATTTTCTTCATCCAAACTTCGGTCATATTGCTTGTTTTTTAATTGTTTTATTTTGATTTCGATGCGATTTGTGTCGCGAAATGGACATCGATAAGATATGCTTGACCTGCCTTAGCTCGACGGGTCCGTTTTTGTCCATCTATGACAACGGATCGGGTAGCTGCCTGGCCGACATGCTCAGGGAATTCACAAAAACTGCGGTAAAGTGTTGCGATTCCCTTAAGTTATTCCATTTGCAGTGTTAACTCGGCCTATTTCTCCGTTTTGCAGCCGCGTCGCCACGATAATATGCCAGAGAAGGTTTGTCTGGGCTGTTTGAGTGAAATAAACCACTGCTATACGTTCAAAATCATGTGTGAGAATTCCCGTCGAACTCTGCGCCAATTGCTGCCGAATGCCCTTCCAGAGGAGTCGGAGCCGGATAAGGTGTTAACCAAGCAGTCGGTGCCCACCATCGATCAGGCAGTGCAGACGTCCAATTGGGAGCCCAGCCGTTGTACGGTATCCGCACAAACAGATGATGTGGTCTTAAATGACAGCAGCCTGGCTAAGCGGAGGATTTCATTGCACTTGGACGACGGTGACGCAGACGGAGACGGTGATGGTGAAGGAGAGGTATATGACTACGAGCTAACCGATGAGCCCGTGGAAAAGGCGACCAGCATAATCCTGCAAGTACAGCAAAGCTTGAAAGTAGAAAAGGAGGTCGTCTTTACGCAGTCCAATGTAATATATGAGGACGAAGACAATGAGTTGGAACAGCAGATCAGGGAGTGCAACCTGGCCATATTTGACAGTGTCGAAAACGAGTCTGCAGAAGTCTCAGTGCCGGCTCAACAGGCGAACACAAGGAAATGCCCCTCAAAATTTCGTATGCAGCAGCAACAGCAGGGAGAGGGGGAGGAGGAAATTGTTAAAAAGGAAAGTCAGCCGTCGAAGAAATCTCGTCGAAGAGCAGCAGAAAAGCAGGAGCTGCACACCACCTTGGCGTCGTCGACTTTTCCCACAAAACGAATGGGGATAGGAATCAGCCACAGATCTCTCAACTCTGTTGCGGTGTCCGCAGCCACTTCTTCAACCGCGGCTGGAGGAACAAGCCCAGCAGCAGCAGGAGCTGCGTTGGTAGCTGAGCTTAAATACCATTGCGATCGCTGCAATGCTGGGTTTGCATTGGAGAAATCCCTAATTATTCACAAGAGGCAAAACAGCTGCACGAACCGCAACTTTAAGTGCGATGAGTGCGAACGTGTCTTTGTGTCGCCAGATCATTTGGCCGAGCACCAGGCCAACCATGGCGCACACAACTGTGCGGAATGTGGGCTGAAGTTCGAGTCAAAGGAGCAGCTGGGCAAGCACATGGTCCAGGGCCACAAGCGGAATCTACGCAACCAGTGCAACGTCTGCCAAAAAGGTGAGTCGACTGAAGATGGAATAGAGTTTACAGTATAATATCTAACACCATTAATTTCATAGTTTTTACCATGCTGTCAACGCTGCGGGACCACATGCGCATCCACACCGGCGAGAAGCCATTTGTGTGCAATATATGCGGCAAGAGCTTTACCCAAAACGCCAATCTCCGCCAGCACAAGCTACGCCACTCGGAAACCAAAAGCTTCAAATGCGAACTGTGCCCGCACTCGTTTGTAACCAAGGCGGAGCTAGCCTCACACGCCCGCACCCACACGGGCGACAAGCCCTTTGAGTGCGAGGTGTGTGCGGCCAGGTTCACTACCAGCTGCTCCCTGGCCAAGCATAAACGGAAGCACACCGGTGAGCGGCCCTACGCCTGCGATCTGTGTCCTATGAGGTTCACAGCCCTCAATGTTCTCAAGAACCACCGGAGAACGCATACGGGCGAACGTCCATATGTTTGTCCATTCTGCGCGAAGACTTTTACGCAGCGCGGCGACTGTCAGATGCATCAGAGAACACATCAGGGCGACCGTATCTATATTTGTCCAGTATGTAACGAGGAGTTCAAGACAATGCCAGAGATGCGCACCCATTTGTCCGGCCACGACCAACACGACAAACGACTGGTGCATTTTACGCTGATTAGCAACAAAGAGAATGGTAGCGGTGCCCTCGAGGATGACCTCAACGAGATGTCCGGGTCGGGACTGATGATATGAACGAATAACCAGTAAAATTGTTAACAGCACAAAATCGCAGGTTTTGCGTTATTAATTCGGTCTCTGATGGAGAAGCAAGAAAATAAATATGTATATGCATCCCACCTCGAACGAGTATCAATTCATGCTGCAAACAACACACACACATGACCTGTCCGCTGTTAGTTTCCACGTCTTGTTCACTTTTCCCCGCGGGAATACAATTTATGTCGAAAACTCACAACTTTAGAACATCTTTAGTCTTAACTTAGTCGCTAGATTGTAGATACAAATAAAAGCTTAAATGGTACATTGCAGTGTCGTTTCCTCATTGCTAGTAAAACTGACCATATTGCCCCGCTGGCTGCATGGTCGTCGACGTGGAGGCGATTGCAGCGACTGAGGCTGCGACGGAGGTCTCGGGCAGAAGCAGGGCGGCTGTGGTGGGCGGCCCACTCGTGACCGGCGGATCTCCGTGGAACCAATTGACTAGCTCATGGTGCGCACTCTGGACGCATTTGCGCTGGTCCGCAATCAGGTTTTCCGAGTATTTCACGTGGTTGGCATAAGCATCCTTTTCGTGCTGCACATCCTTGGACATGCGATGCAGGTCCTTGAGTATTGCTGATCCCCACAGTTGGACGTGGATGTCTGGAATCTTGCTGGCTAGTTGCATGGCCGGCGTAACCATGTTCATGCTCTCCTTGGAGTTGCCAATGCTGAGGAAGACGTGCGAGAGCAGTACCAGCGAGCAGCTGGTTAGCCGGTTTAAGTCCTCAGCATTGGCCATTTTCAGGGTTTCGCGAAGAAAGCGCCTGCAAAATTAAAGTTAAAGGTGGTGTGAGAACAAAATAATTGTCATTATTATCAAGGATGTTCAACCACTTACTTGGCCTCGTGGAAGCTGTTTTTATGAAAGGCGTGGAGGCCCTGAACGTAATAAAAGCCCCCCATTAGCGCCTGACTGCTGTAAGTGTGCGTGTTCTCCGTCGACACAGCGTCAAGTATTTGCTTAAGGTCCGTCTCCCGCTTGGTGCGCAGATAGATGATAGCCAGGTTAAGGTTGGCGAACAGCTTCAGGTCCCTCTCGGTGGTCTCGCTTACGCAAACGAGAAACTGCCGCTCTGCGTGCTCAAAGAAACTGGTTGACATGGAGTACAGCCCAACGAGACAGTGCAGTTGGGCGGAATGGCGTCGCAGCAGACTACGTTGTGGAGCCGCCAGGCATACATCCCGAGCGGCAGCAATCTCGCGGATGGCCAGTTCCCGGTTTCCCATCACCATGCGACACATGACAATGTGCTCCAGTAGAATCACTTTGAAGACGGACAGAATGGGTTTATCCTCCTGCTGCTTGAGCTTTTCTATTTGAGTAAGAGCTTTTTCCGTGTACTTTTGTGCTTTGTCCATGTAACCCGCCATCATGGAGTGCGACACGGTTACAAGGTAAACCAGCACGTACAGCTGCTCCTTAGGCAGCCACACGAACATCTCAAGCTGATTGGCGCCGAAAATTGCTTCGTCTGATGGCCAATTGGGAGCCATTATCGTTTGGATGGACATCTGTAGTTGCTTAAGGCTGGGCTTTACAGTCTTCACCTGGCCCAGAGCCAGATAGTAGCAAACCTGCAGCACCAAGAAGAATACCTTAAGGTATTCCTTTTGGTGCGGATTCGGTATGTTGTTGTCGATGATTTGGCCCGCAGAATTGAGCAGGGCGAGCACATCGTTGGTCTTGCGCTCGATCATCAGGATCATGGCGCGCGAAAGCAGGAACAAGACCTTCAGGTACGTGGCGGCCGCCTCGTCGGCGCTTTCTGCACCCACGGCAAGCAGCTCGGACGCCAGAGAGTACTCTCGATCGCTGGCATGTATCTGGGCCAGCTGCAGCAAAAGCTTACAGTGCCAATAGACATTGTGTTGTGACAGTTCCACGGCGCGCCGCAGCATCGCCTTAGCCTGGTGTGAGTTCTGGTCCGTCTGCAGATGCAGTTGCGCCAAAAGAGAGGCTGTGTCAAACTTGACGTCAAAGTTGGCCAGCGGCTCGGAAATGCTCCACGCCTTCTCCAAGTGATGGCGGGCGAGGTCTATGTTCTTCGTGTAGGCCATTAAGATCTGTCCCATTTGCAGGTGCGTGCGCGCCTCGACCTTTGAGGGCGGCATAAATGTGAAGAGCGCCTGCAGGCACTGGATGCACTTCTTGATGTTCGGCGGCTGCGAGGTGCGGAAAAACTCCGCCAAGCCAAGCAGCGAGATGTAGCAGGCGTCTTGCGACGCCGCCGCCGACGTGGAGGCTGTTGCGCTCATTTTGGACAGCAATTTCGGTTTGTTTATAGCGTAATTCCGTTTTGTTGTCAATTTCGCGACTGTGCGGTGGTGGCTGCCAGTGTTGGTCAATGCAGCTTGCTAGTGGTGGTACAAGCTGCAGTTGTTATCGACCGCTGTCACGGTTACAAGGTGATATCGAAGTAGCGGAATTCGTTGGCATTTTACATATTAAAAGAATTTTATTTTCAAATTATAAGGTAAGCTCTTAAGATAGTGTGAGAACGGAAGTAATTTTATGTTATACAAACATCTTTTTTATATTTGGTGTTACAAAATTTCGATTATTTGATGATGACCGTCTTCGTCTATCGTTATCGAAACCAAACTCAACCGCTTTCGCTTCTCTTTTTTTAAAGCTTTAGAGCCTCAGTTCGTTGACGGTCGTGTATTCGTGTGTTCCAAACAGTCCTGGGATTAAAAGGTATTTATTAGACTTATTTTCTGGCTGTATGCGAATTAATTCATATATTACAAAGTAATAATATTAGATTTACTTAAAGTCGAACAAGTTTTACATTTTCTTACAATACTTTTGATTATGGTTAAAATGTATACATAAGAATTAAAAACATTCTTACAGCGTGATTCAGCCTATCACAAAATGCATAATATTGGTTGTTATCTCCGCTACTTTGACCTCTGGGCCAGGAGCTATAAATAATATGGTATTCCCGAGATAAAACATTTCCAGGAACTCAAGGTTTCGGAAATCAATCAACAGATCCAAGAATTTCTAAATTGACAAGACAGGTCAACAAAAAAACATTACGGAGACTTACGCGATTAAGTTTTTAACCTGATGAACAAAATTGGTACGTGACGTGATGTACAGAATCTACAGACCAAGATATTTTAAAATCAGTCGCGTTTAGTCTTCGTATAAAAAAGTCTAAATTTTGTCGTCCTGTGCTATTAGGCACTGCTTTTTAACTCGGAATAATATATCTACATACATATGTACATCCTAGAAAAGAATAACGAGAACGTGCCAAGTAGAAATAAGTTTGTATAATTTAAACAATATGGCTCTGATATATTTCAATAATTAATGAATGACTCCGTGCTGAATAACAAATGAATCGTAAATTAACATTTTATTTAGGAAATATTTGCAATTTCTGTATCTCTTTAATACACTTGTTCGTATACACCGAAATTTGGTGCTTATATGTGTTTGTATGTATGTATATAAAGCTAATCGATTTCCGATACGATCCTATAATTAAATTGCAAGGGTATATAAACATCGTCTTTCTGAAGTTAGTATCCTTCCTTTTTGACTACGAAAACTAGTCTCTCAGTTTTGAAGCTTTTTAAATGAATCGTTGCAGTTTGTCTTCTATATACTCTCTTACGTGTATATGTGGGAACGGGCCGGATCGGACGAAAAAATATAAAAAATATATATGTATATATATTATATAAATATAAAACTGTAAATATAAAATTTATAGGTGAATGAAATGAAAGCAGGCATTACTTCATTGTTTTTTAACATAAATATATATAATTTATATTGTATTAATTCGCATGATCGAAGTTTTACTTGCAAGGGTATATTAACTTTGTCTTCCTGTAGTAAGTTTCCATTCTTGTTTAAAATGAAAGAATACATTAATTCTTTGTATAACCTTTAATATTTTTATACCCTTGCAGGGTATTATAATTTCAGTCAGAAGTTTGCAACGCAGTGAAGGAGGTACCTCCGACTATATAAAGTATATATATTCTTGATCAGGATCAACAGCCGAGTCGATCTAGCCATGTCCGTCTGTCCGTCTGTCCGTTTCTACGCAAACTAGTCTCTCAGCTTTGAAGCTATGAATGAAACTTTGCAGTTAGTCTTCTATATACTCTCACTCGTATATATGTCGGAACGGGCCGGATCGGACGACTATATCATATAGCTGCCATAGGAATGATCGGAAAATTTTTTTAAAATAATTTTTAACTTTTTCAGTTTTCAATAGAATTGGATCAAATTTGAGATATAGCCATTTTACTATACTCTACAATTTTGCATAAAATTTTATGAAAATCGGACTACTATATCATATAGCTCCCATAGGAACGATCGAGAAATGAATACAATTAAATTTATAACCTTTTCAGTTTTCAACTGATTTTCATCAAATTTTAGGTATAGGCATTTAATTTAAGTCTCGGACGACTATATCATATAGGTGCCATACAAACGATCGTTTGATGTGGAGGAAAAATGCAAATCAGTGAATGTAAAACTGCAAATATAATATGTATAGGTGAATGAAATGAAAGCAGGTATTACTTCATTGTTTTTTAACACAAAGATATATAATTTGTATTGTATGGTTTTTTATTCATAGAAGTTCTATCTGCAAGGGTATATAAACTTCGGCGTGCCGAAGGTGGCTTCCTTTCTTGTTAGGTGTTGTTTATATTTCTAATAAATACATATTTCCGTATTTATGTACATATGTATGTATATTTTTAGGCCATAAAATGAACATTCTTAGCCAGACCCTCCTGATGGTTTTACCCGCCCTTGCCCTAGCCAGTTTGTGCGATGAGCCCGTAACCCCAAATAATTTGGTCCCTCGAACCAACCTATACCAGAGCCAGAAGAACTTTGCTGTGTCCATGCTGGATGCTATTAGCAAACGGACTCCAAGCGGAAATTTGTTCTTTTCTCCGTACAGCACGTACAACGCACTGCTCCTTGCCTATTTCGGTTCCTCCGGGGAGACGGAGAAGGAGCTTGTAAGGGTGCTACATCTGGACTGGGCCAGCTCCAAGGAGATGGTGCGCAGTGCCTACATGGTGGAGAAAAAGCTCCTTGCGTCCCGTTTGCGTAAAAATCCGCTGGAATTCTCCTCAGTGGGCCGAATTTTCTACGCCAAGGATCTTGAGCTGGGGGAATGCCTAAAGGATCGCCTCTTTAACGAGTACGCAGCAGTTAACTTTCAAGGACAGCCGGACGAATCGCGCAAAGAAATTAACGCCTGGATTGCTAACCAGACCCACAACCAGATCCGTGACATGCTGAGCGAGGATGACATTACATCGCGCACGCGAGTGGTCTTGGCCGATGCAGCCTATTTGAAGGGTCAGTGGGTCAGCAAATTTAAGATGGAGAAGACATCTCAGCAACGGTTTTATACTACCGCATCCGACTTTTCAATGGTGCCTATGATGAAGCAAAATGGTACCTTCTTGCTGATGCTGGACGAAAACCTAGACGCCAAAGTTCTGCAGATGCCTTTCCGCACCTCCTACGAGACAAATGGGAAGCCCAAGTCCGACATCTCAATGGTGCTCATTCTGCCTTCAACATCCTTGGATAATGTGGTGTCGAAATTGAACCCCGAGACTCTGCGACAGGCCTTAAACTTCGCTATGCCGCGGCAACTCGAGCTGTCTGTGCCCAAGTTTGAGTTCGAGCAGCGCTTGGAATTGATTCCGGTAAGCTTATGCGACAATTAGTGTATAAAATCAAATTCTTTGGATCCATCATATGATTTCGGCAATAATCCATCATTCCTCTTCTAGATCCTTAGCGGAATGGGACTGACCAAGACCTTCACCCCGGCTGGAACCTTCAAAGATTTAACGTCTGAGGGTATTGTTTTCGACGACGCCCAGCAGGTGGCCAAGATCAAGGTCGACGAGGAGGGCAGCACAGCGGCGGCGGCCACCATTCTTTTTTCTAGCCGTTCAGCGCGTCCGGTGGAGTCTGAGACGTTCGAGTGCAACCATCCTTTCCTGTTCCTCATCTACGATGAGACCAATGAGTCAATCCTGTTCACGGGCATCTACCGCGATCCCAAAACCATGAAGGCGTAAGTCTTGGGTAAATTTTTTTGTTTCGAGTCTACAGTTAATAAATTCTTGTATGTAAATCGTGTCTTATACTAAAAGACACTTCAACGCAATAAAAACAGCGTATTGTCACTATACGTTTTTTAAAGTTCTACTTACAGTTGATTTCTTATAAAATATTAATACCTTTTACGGTGAGATAAAAGGTGTGTCCTTGGGTGTGTTTTAGCAATCTAGTAAAATTAATATGATAAAGTAGTATAAGATAGTAGTCCGATTTTAATAAAATTGCACACAATATTGTAGAATAATATAAATTGTGGCGAGAATAATAATAAAGTAAATAGTGATTTGGTGGTTTAAATATTTCGGCTGAAAGTGACTAAGTGATAAGAAATTACTAAAACACTTCTAAAATTAACTTCTAAATTAACATGCAAAATGTAATAATATTATCATAAATACAAAGTTAGAGTCAATAAAATACAGTCGAGTCCTGATAATGCGAAATGGCAAGGGGATCCCTTTTTTTTACCAATTTGACGGGAATTCGATTTAACGGGGCTCAAAAACTAAAGAGTCGAATAAACGCGGTTTTTACATTTCACATCATGTTTACATATGTATTTAACTTTATTAAAATTAAGCGAACACTATAAGTATGTATGTACATTCATTAAAGGAAAATTTAACAATAACATAAAATTATAATAACAAAAAATTAAACATAAAATTATAAAAAACAAAAATTTAGGCTTTAAAATAATTGGTCATTTTTGATTGCATGGTGTTTTTTTTCCATTGCGTTTTCTAAACCTATTAGGTTGCCAAAGACACTATTTGGCACATCATGGTTCGAAAAATAATGTTTAAGTTGAGGAATTATGCTCTGGCTTGTAAATTCGTTAAAATTTCTTCTCCATCGGCGTCATCATCGTCGTCACTTTCAGAATTGTTGGGCAAAACTTCTTCCAAAATTGGCTTGCATTATAAACTCTTTTTTCTGTAGAATTGATGTTATTGTTGATGAAGCGACATCGAATTGTTTTGCCACCTCAATTTTTTTTGTTTCATTATCAATCGCTGAAATAATGTTTTGTTTTTGCGCGATTGGCAACGTCTTATGCGTACGTTTTTGTGACATTTTCACAGGACGATGTTACTCCGAAAAAAATCAGCTAACTAAACGAAAACAGCGAGAGAAACACAAAATTCATAATGCATAGCGACATACAGGCGGCATAGCTGTCAACAAAATCTAACGGTGCTTTAACTACAAAAAATTTCGCATCGCATTTCGATTTATAAAGGTTACGAAACAAAATTACGATTTATAAGAGGTTCAATATTCTTTGCGTTGCGTCAAATAATACGAATTAACGAGGCGACCAAAATGTATGGTATGGTATGGTATGGTGTATGTAAGAATTAACGAGTTTTTTTCAAGGGGACAGAATTTCTATTACGAATTATTGCGATTTTCGATTTAGCGGGGTACGATGTATCGGGATTCGACTGTATATATGTATATAAAAAATGCAGTTTTGTGGCTTCCCTTAAAATTTTTTTAGCTTAAATAGAATCTATCTATTTATGTATCTATTTAGAACTATCATTTTATGTGATATTTACAAAAATTGTTGCTGAACGTACCACTAAGTGCTCATATCCAGTGTTGTAAGCTTCGCAATTTTGTTGATATGGTAGACGGATCAGCTGTTTCTCACCGATGGTTTATCGATATCCAAGCCGGACTTAAAATGATTTTGGACTGATATTTGGCCACCGAGGTCCAGTTTTAAAATTTAAAGTTGTAACCGCAGTCGAGTTGACCAGACGTGTTTTTCGGTCTACAGTTGAAGAAGGTATTTCCCAGTGTTTATTCAGTGCTTTTCGAGTGTTTGTCCCGATTCGTTCAACTCCCCCGAGCTCGTTACGATCACTCAACGAATAGGGTCGGCATTAAAGCGTAGCCTATTTCTGCAATACTAATCTGCATATTGGTGTATACATATGTCTGTACATATATAATATAATTGCATACTCACGAGTTATAGATATATGTATATGGATACATACATTTGTCGCACGCAATTGAAGTGAGGTAATGAATTGTATTATTTTGGTAATGTTAATACCTGAAACTTTGTTGTATATGTATGTACATACATATGTATCCGCATTAACTCGAGCTTGCGTTAAAGACCTCTTCGAGCAATCGCTCTAGTGCTTATCTGTGATTATGACCTCGGGCATCGATTGGCACATAAATAAGCCAGCTTTGAAGATTCAATTCCAAGAATGAATAATATTTAGAAGCAATAATAGTATTCGAAAATTCCAAGAATGCAGCACAATCTAATGAGCTTAAGAAAACTAAATTATACTTCAAGTGGAAAATTTAATTTTAAGCATAGTGTACTTAAATACATATGTACATATATATTTATGTATGGAAATGTAACACAAGCGCATGCCAAACCTCTTACAATAAATTTATTACAAATAGTCTAATCTTAAATTTTTATAGTTTTAACTTCAGCTTTACAAAATGATAATTTTTTTACTCGATATTTGAAAAAGATAACCAAATTAAATATTTGGTTGCAATCCTTTGTTGATGAGCAAGCGACTAGAATGTATTTTACCAAAAGTTGACCTTCTTTCGGATCAATAGTTCCATGCTTCACTAAAGCTGCTTTACTTTATTTTTCGTTATTGATCATTCTCAATGGTGTTTTGTGTATATTTGTCCATATACTTTGACACCCATTAAAGCCAAGTTCGAGGCAAATGACATGTCTGCTTTCCATCAATCATAACTTGTTCAGTATTTTGGGATTCTCCCAAAAACTTCAGTGAGCTAACGAAAAAGTATATGGGAAATAGACGCGCATGCGCAGTTATCACACAAACGTTGTGTCTGTGTAGGGTACAAAAATAATTACAAAATCGCCAATACAGGGTCAACAATGAGTATACGCGGTAAAATACGAAACGCCAACAATTTGTGCCGTTTATGAATCACATACTATATATTGTGGCGTTGTCTGCCGGTGGGATCCGCGCAACCGGTTGGTGGAAATGTTAATTTTGGGTTTTTTTTACTTGTATACAAAGCGCTGCTGGCGCTGCAGTCACGCAACCGCGGACATCGTCATCGCTCAGCTGGTAAAAAGCTTCCACTCCCAACCTGCAGAGCCCCTTTCATGCTCCGATGCTGCATTCGAACACAACAACAAGTGCTGGCCACAGTTCATTATGTTTCGGATTGCGAATTTCGAGTGCAGAGCGGCGGTGAAACTTTCACTTTTTTTGTTTCATGTCGCGGCTGCAAAGATGTTGCAATTGTCGCCCGAAGATAAAGTAAATAACTAACCACTCGATGGACTGGAAAAGCTTTCGAGATGAATCAGTAAACTGAAGCGATCCAATTTGAATTTAATATATGTCTTGGGATTTCCGACTTTATCTCAAGGACTTTGGAAGAAACTAAACAAGATAATGCACAGAGTCACACCTTCACCCTTTTCAAAATTATTCCACGTTCGAAATAAAAAACAGTTATTAAACAGGCCGTTAAATTAACAAAGTCTGGAATAATATATAGAAAAATTTCAGTGCTAACGAATAACAAATTTTAATTTAAATAGACGGGGAAAATAAATACTTAATAATTTACAAATCTATTCTTATATTTTTATCCTTCTAAAACTGTATAAAATTAACTGACTGCCGTTTAACTGAGCTATTCCGGTCGATAAATATAATTTTAAAATTGACTAGATGCCATCTCCTAATGAGTGTAAACAAAAGATTTAAATTTAACTGTTCTCTTAATGATTGGGGTTTTTCTATTTAAAGCGTGTTGCTCTCTTGGAAAGCATTTTCTGACATTAATTGTCAAGGGACGTGAATGGATGGCGGGGAAACCTGGGCGTCAACAACACTTTCGGAGAACTGCATAAATTTACCCAACTTAAGTACTTCTCTCTGGTTTTTATAGGTCTCTAATTACTTCGCCGGGACATACATACACAAGAAAGCAACCAAAAAGTAGAGTCGATGATATCAGTTACTTAATATTCAACAGAGGCATAGGCCGATAAGCCGGCTAAACCTCAGACATTCGAGCCTCAAGGTTACCTGACGGATTCCACCTTCTCTTTAGGATTTATTCACACACTATTAGCTAGTATTTTGTATATTATTTACTTTTAAATAATAATCACATTTATTTTATATTTCCCCTTACCGGTTATAGAGATTTCCCACCAGTCACAAAATGCATATCCTCAGCCTATCCGTGCTGGTGCTACTACCAGCGATCGCATTAGCCAGTCTCTGTGACGTTGAACCCAACTCGAATTTCCTGGAAAAACGAATGAACCTTTATCAGGGCCAGCAGAACTTCTCTGTCTCCATGCTTGATGTCATCCGGAAAAGCACTCCCAATGAAAATGTTTTCTTTTCGCCGTACAGCACCTACCACGCCTTACTGCTGGCCTATTTCAGTTCCTCCGGGGAGACGGAAAAGGAGCTCGCTAACGTGCTTCAGCTGAACTGGGCCGACTCCAAGGAGATGGTGCGCAGCGCCTATTTGATAGAAAAGAAGAACCGTGAAATCCGCTCGCACAAGATGCCACTGGAGTTCTCGTCGGCGGATCGCATATTCTTTGGCAACAATCTGCATCTGACTCACTGCGCTGAGACCCGTCTTGCTAAGGAGATCGTCAGGACGGATTTCCAGAACAAACCAGATGTGGCGCGCAAGGAGATCAATGACTGGATTGCCAACACGACGCACAACCAGATCCGTGACATGCTCAGTGCCGAGGAAATCACCAGTGACACCAAATTGGTCCTGGCCAACGCAGCCTATTTGAAGGGCCAGTGGGTTAGCCAGTTCAAAGCGTCAAAGACAGTTCCGATGCCCTTCTACACGTCTGCCTCCAATTTCTCCTTTGTACCCATGATGCAGCAGAAAGGCACATTCCTGCTGAACACCGATGAACAGTTGCGCGCTCACGTCCTCCAAATGCCTTATCGCACCGTTTTCGAATCGGACGAACAGCCAGATAGCCAGCCGGATGACAAGTCTGACATCTCCATGGTGCTCATCCTGCCGCCCTTCAACCCCAACTCGCTGGAGGACACGCTTTCGCGACTGAACACCGAGACCCTGGAGCAGTCGCTTAACCAGGCGATGCCGCGCGAGATCGAGGTGTCTCTGCCCAAGTTTGAGTTTGAGCAGCGCCTGGAATTGGTTCCAGTAAGTTCACTGAATATCCTACTCCATTGTAAACTAAAATGTTTCCACCTATTATTATAGATCCTTGCCAGAATGGGAGTCACGAAGATCTTTGGCAAGAACACCGCCAACTTTGACGATTTGACATCCGAGTCGATTTCCCTCGGCGATGCCAAGCACGTTGCCAAGATCAAGGTGGATGAGGAGGGCAGCACCGCATCGGCAGCAACCGTCCTGTTTACGTACCGTTCGGCCAGGCCCGTGGAGCCCGCCAAGTTCGAGTGCAATCATCCATTCCTTTTCCTTATATACGATCGCACCTCCAGCTCAATCCTGTTTACAGGCATCTATCGTGATCCTAAGACACTCAAGCAGTAAATGCAGCGAGTTCGCAATTATCCTAACCAAATTTTGTCTTGACTGTAAAAGACCTTGTAAACTTCTAAACATACTTTAACGATAATAAATTATACCCATAACAAGAATTTAATGGACAGTTGAATGTGTGTTCCTTCCATACTTCGCATTAACAAACCTAAATTAAAAAAATTGATCGCTCTGTCTCCGTCTGTTTAATTTTTTTTTGTCTATTCGATTGTTTTGATTAACAAATAATAACCACATTTATTGGGCGATCAATGCAAACAGTTTTAGTTTTCTACTAACAACCTGGGACAGAAATATTTGAAAATGCCATTCCCATTCGGGCACTTCTCTGAAATGGCTTGGAACGTACATACTGGTTTATGTACGAGACAGGAAAAATACCATTTGAATAAGTATATCGCTCAACATCAAGTCGAACATCAGCTTAACTAAACATTTTCTTAAACTCCATAAAAAAACACTTGACCAGATAATGTTTTGCTCAATTTACTAAATTCTTCATACAAAACACGTAAATAATAAAAATTTACAAAGTTTTATTTTGGGATGCTTCCATTAAGTAAACACTGCTTCTACGTAAAGAAATATGCAAAAAAGGATGTTATTTCAATTTTGAGGAGCTTCGAGGCAACCTGGTCTTACTAGCACACTTATGTATGTACATATGTACAGTCATCTTTAATACTTAGCACAAAACCGAAAGCTGGGCGAATAGATCAAGACAAAACTAAACGATTGGATAGGAATTGGATAAGCTAAATTTGTATGTCATGGCCGAGGTGAAAAGCACAGAAGGCACTTTTGTTTTCTTCCCTTAATTTGTGTGGTTTCCTATAGTTGTTTGGCAAGCAAGATATCATAAATACATGTGGATCCACCATCTTCTCTTTTAAATTCATCAATACAATCCCACCCATTATGCCTGGGTGCTCCTCAAACGAAAACATTGGACTACAACTAAATCTTCGAATATTGTGGGGTCGTCAACTGGGCAATCTCCTCTAGAGTTCCATGGCTTGCTGTCTAGATGTCATCCGGGGGCATGGCGACAGCGTAGATGGCAAAGCCGATGAACACAATGCCACCCACAATGGTGACAGTGCGCACAGAGATTTTGGAAGCCACTAGACGACCTCCAATCACAGCCAGGCCAGTGCAGATGCAGTGGCCAATAATACCGCCAGCTATAACGCCATAGACGTCCTGCAAAAATAAATAGTTTTAAATTTTGACTTTCAGCTAACTGCCTGTTCTTACCTTGCTGGCTGCGAGAATAATAGTGGTCAGTTGGGAGCGGTCGCCCCACTCGGCCAGGAAGGTCATTGTGAAGGCCTGGGCCAAGATGCGCATGGTGAAGTAGGTGGCGCCGCGTTTTTGTGGACGACGACGGCCGCTCTCGGCGTCGTTAACCAGGGCAGCGTTCACATCACGGTCCAGCTGCAAAAGAAGACATCGTACTTAAGGATTAGCTTAGAAGAACCTGGCGAAAATGGACGATGTCGATGAAAATGTGCGCAAAAAAGGGGAAGAACAGATTATAAAAAAGACATTGAACGACTTTGTGAACAGGAAATTTTACCACTTTCTTTTACATTGATGTACCAAAAGAATAAACTTAAATAAAGCAAAAATAAAAAAACGATCACTTCATAACAACATGCAGAGAGAGAAAAGATGGGTGACAAATGTGCGCCAATCAAATGGGAGTGTGGAATGGATATAAAAGGGAAGCAAACTAGTACAGAGGCCACAAAAACCAAATGCCCAAATGACTTCAAGTTAATTGTTAAGAAATAAATCGATGTCTATGACTTCTCTTGTGATTGTGTGTTCCATGAGTGTTGTGTCTGTGTTTTTTTTAGGCAAAAAGCACGTGAAACGAACATGATAAAGAAACATTTAGCATTTGTCGGTTATTGAATAGTATTGCAGCCTCGATCACATTTACGTATGTTATATAAATACTTACAAAACTGGAATTGATTGATAGGGTTTATCACTTAAATTGGCATTTGCTCGAATCATAATCACATACCAAACGATTTCGCTAAAACCCTAAGCTGTATTTGTACAAATTTTAAAAAAGCCACGGACTTCTATGCTTACAATGTGAATGCACATGATGTGAAATATTTTATTTATTTCAATGCTTTGAGATATGCAATATTCTTTGTTTCGCCGCTATCACTATATTTTTAAAACTACAATGAGGCTAAGTAATTTTCTTTGGTCTAATTAAAGAATATGAATAGGCCACCACAGAAATCAATTTGGACCTTGGGTTGCCGTGACAGCCCGAAAAGATGAATTGTTATACTACAATTAATTAATAGATCCCTTAGATTATTTTCCATTACCCGTAGGAACGGGACAAGATCTGGGGTCGGTGGCATTGCTAAGCTTTAAACGGGTTTCCAATCAAAAGTTTAATCAATTCCAGTTTTGAAACATTTAGTCGAATGCGAAACGGAAACGGAGCTGCCTGGAATTTTGAATCTGGCCTGACCCGTGCTTTGAGGGCGCCATTAGACGGTCCGTTCGAGTCCCCGTTCAGGCTTCCGTTGAGGCTATGCATACTGTCGTGTCCGGCCAGCGGGGCTCGGGGCTCCTGACTTCCGCCACCCGCGGATGGATCGGTGGGATGCCCAGCCAGCTGGGCGGCATCGACGGTGGTGGTTGAAGCGGCCATGGAGTTGGTTTGTTCGGTCTGGTTCGATGATGCCGCCGAGTGGGCCGGGCTACTGTGGTAGGTCTTCATCTTGAGCTGCTCGACAATGCGTCCGCCCTCTTTTAAGAACACCTCGGACTCGTGTTGATCCCGATCCGGCTCATCATCGGTGCCAGCTTTATCACAGCTATTTTGCTTACTATTAGAAAGGGTGTTATTGTTGTTGTGGCTGCGCTGCTTTCGCTGGCGATGCTGCATGTCGGAGTCGCCAGTGGAAGTGGCTGCTGCGGCTGCGATGGAAATGGAGTTGTTGCGGCCATGGATGAGAGCCTGCTCGCTGGCATCCTCCTTGTCCGAGTTGCTATTCTTCCGCTTGGCCTCCGCATCCTCGTATTTTCTGCTGGCCTTCCGCAGCAACTGATATATCCCAACAGCCATTGTCAAATGCGTTAAGTATTTCGATTTTTGTGTATCAAATTGATCGTCGATTACGAGTTGGGGGACAACGTTAAATCAATTTAAAAATTTCGTTTTGCATAAAGAAAAAACAATTAAAAGTTGACATTAGCTAGAGATAATCGATCTGCAAATTTTGATTTTGATTAATATTCGGGTGGAGTTTTCGGTTTGGCAAAAAAGCGTTTCCATATCAAACGATTTTCTGGTTTAGTACGAATTTTCATTTCTCGAAAAACCTTCAAAGCTCGCTTGTTGTTTGCTGATATGCGCCGCAAATCGTGCAATTAGTCACATAGGCTTGAATGGGTGATCATGTATGTATGTGAATTTTTGTATGTTTGATTATTAAAAACAAATCAAAAAGGGAGCTCTTCGCAAGATAAAACTGTGGATAATGCGGGGTTTCATTGCCGATTTGTTTGCGCCTTTTGTTTTGATTATTCGAGATCAACTATCAGGGGAACTTTAAAAGGTGTTTGTAGTTTTCTTTGTTGTGGTTAATAAAAAGTTCTTAATTAGCATGCCATTAAGATATATAATAACAATTATGAGCAGTTTGCGTAGTGTATAGGCAAAGACCTTATAATGACGCGAAATTAACACAATACTTTTTTTCACTCGGATTTAAGGTGCATCTGGAGAGAGGATAAAATATTCTCAAGTATTCTACTTAGATTTTTTTCGCAACTTAAATTTATGCATTGTTATTATAAGGTCTTTGGTACAGGTTAGTAATTGATTCCTTGTCGTATAAAGCGAACTTATGGCGTTATAGCTCAAGTAAGACTGGTATGGATAACCAAAAGCAGTATGAGTGTGATCGCTTTGGGCATTGAAGTTTTTATTTTGTCTGTACAAACTTCCAGTCAATTTGATAGATAATAAGTGTAAAATAAAAAGTCAAGCGCTGTAGCTATTAACAAAAGCAAAACCAAAGAGTATAAAATAAAACAGGAACAAGCGAAACTACTTGAAAGTTAAAATATATAGGAACTAGGTAACATATATGTAGCACCTCCAATATGTACAAGGTATAAGCAAAAAGAACCACTCACTTCGTCCTCGCGCTTGCGCAAATCTGTTTGAACCTCTTCCAGCTCCTCCTGAGCATCGGTTGGTTTCATTTTGTAGCCATCGTACAGCATTTTTAAGCCGAATATTAAAAATAATGCAGTTGAGATATAATACGTATAAATCTGTGGATAAAAAGATATGCAAAGAAATGAGTTTATTTGGATTTGATTTGTTTAGTCCTCAAATCAAACAGATCTTACGCATATTAAGGTTAAACAGAGCTAGAAATCAACCTTACCTTAGGAATAAAGTTAGCTGCCATGCCAAATACGCATGAGAGTACCGTCATAAGGGCCAAGGCGGCGATGGCACCGCCAAAGACAATCAAACGCGGATGGCGCATGGCCATTATGGCAGCTATAAAGAAAGTCTTATCGCCTAGCTCTGTTAATAGGATAACAGAGATCGATGCGGTGAACGCATCGATAAAGGTTCCCTTCGATTTCGACCGTTCAGTAGATTCCTTTTGTTTATCCGCTAAATTGCTCAGGTCCGTGGGCTTGTTTATATCCACTGGCATGTCCAAGTCCTGGGGAAAATACTAAAGTTGATCATTTTTCGGGGCAATAGAATGGATGGACCTACGTTCTGTATTCCAGATTGAATGACTGCATTATCGTCGCCATCCGGCTGCGCTTCCGCCGCACAGATCGTGCCGAATGTGAGCACCACCATCAGGGCCAAAGCCATGTGCCATTTGGCTGAGCGCTTCAGGTATACGTTGTGTCTGGTTGTCTGCCAGAAGTAGGATTGATTTTGTGACATCTTGGTGCTGTCTGTGAGTGGGAACGGTGGTTCCTCTAGGCCTGCCTCATGCAACTGTTCTCGGAATATCCGCTGTACTTTAATCTTTAGTGTAGTTACGTGTCCGTTACTAGCGAATGACTGCAAAGAAATGAAGAGAACCAGCTCAGAGTTTCGCTCACTCGCACGGGGTAAAGTAAACTGAACAAGGCACAATGTTTATGGCTAATCGGCCAACGCAACAAGTGTTCTCCGCGGCATTATTTGTCCGAGGCAAACAGAACAGCACCCGTGTGTCTGTGTTTGGCCAAGTCAAAAAATTGGGCTCCAAGTCGGGTGGTGTGCAGAGGGGGAAGGTTGGAGCCCAGATAAGCGGTCGGCACTGCGTCAAGTGTCGTCTGATATGGTCAATCAAAGTCACTGCTCTCGGTACGGCCCAGTTGCCGAAATATTGTATATTCCTCGATCCACCAAGATCACGTCGCACGCCCGACGGATCAATACGTCAGAGGCAAAAGCACCCCAGCTTATCGATTAGATAATGATCAGCCAAAATATTAAGGAATCAATGGGATTTCATGAAGAATGCTACATGCTCTATTTGCCATATTATACAGTTTATCTGGATAGTTGGGAGGTACAGTGTCGCCTCCCAAATATTTGTGTTTAACTTGCTTAGATCGCAGTTCGTTATCTTTGAAGTTAACCTCCTCCCAAATTAAGTTCTTTAAGATGATATACGAACTTAAAAGGTTCAAACAGGGGGATAAGCACATTATTTATTTGTATTTATCATATATATGATGTGTTTGTCAAAAACATTTCATAATTGATATATCAACAAACAAAGCATTCAAATTCAGAAAGCCACAAATAAAGGTATAATTATTGAGAAAATGTTTATTTAAATTTGTAATAAAAAGTAAATTAAAAGTAAATAAAATTATGAAGTTCCTATTGCTATTATCTTTTGCTAGCGAAAGTGTTAAATTAAATAATGAAAGCGACACTATTTCTATTTAAAGTGACAGTTTTTCCGTTAAAGAACCCTTAGAGATAGTGTGTATAAATATAATATATATTTACGTGACCACAGAACCGTCAAAAGTTATAGGGTAGTTGGCTACTACATATCATATAATATATTTGTATAATGTGTACATGGCAGGGGATTTCTTTCATGTTGCAAAAAAGTAAGCAAGCTAAGTTTGTGACTTTTTTGTTTTTGGTTTATTTTTAAACTAATATCACTCTAGACGGCCGACAACGTAGTGAGATTAAGCACCAAGAGTGTGCTTATTTTCTATCGTGAAAATCGAAATACTAATCGAAAGGAATTGATTTAAAACAAAGTTGTGCCTACTTGCACCAGTTTGGTTCAAAAGGAATGGGGCTGAAAGTGTTTTTTCTTTACCTAAAATATAACAGTTTTCCGCGGTCACAATTTCTTTTGTTGAAATAAATATAATTATTAATCGTCCCCTAATTTTATATCCGAAATTTTTGAGCTGAATGTGTCATCACATTATTAACAGGTAGCTTTGTTGTATAGATTATGCTATCGGTATAACAAGTTTTTAATATATATTAATTGCGAGTAAAAATAATAGTAACAGAGCTCATAAACTCATGAACTTGGTACTAATTGGTCATATTGAGATTTCTAAATCCATTTGTGGTATTTAATTCGTCAATATTTATCAATTGAAGAAAATGTTCTTAAAATATTTCAAAACTTAAAGACAAGATTATAATTGTTGGTTCAATTAAGACTTAATCTCCCAATTCTAAAAATGTATTTAGCTTATGACAAGTGTAAATATTTATAAATTTCTTGTGAGTTATGCTTTAACAAAAATGTGTGATTTTTTTAATTTCTGGTAGGGAAATGGGCACAAAGGAGAGTTGAATCATGTCCCTTATCATATATCTTATTTATTATTAATCCGCCTTGTTTATAAGCGTCTGTGGTAATTTATTTGCGATGACTTTTGCTGTATTTCCCATTTGCTCAAAACAAACATAAACGGTAGTGGCTTTCTGTTCTTGTCAGAATTCTGGATTTATTTATTATACACTTGATGAGGGTATAACGAATTTTTTCAGAAGTTTGCAACGTAGTTAAGAATACTTATGTGACCAAATAAGGAAAAATATTCCTGAACAGCATCAAAAACCGAGTTGATCTAGCCATACCCGACAGTTTCTACAGAAACTAGTCCCAGTTTTAGTTATACATATTTGAATAAAGCTTTACCTATAGTCTTCTTTATATAATGTAAACATCCGAACAGGCCTGATCACCATATCCTATGGTAGTTATAAAAATGATCTGAAAATGGTTTTATTTTTAATTATATCTAAATTATAGAACTTGCCAAAAAAAGATATATTTGAATTAAAAAGGACTAAAGTCAAAATTTTAAATTTAAAAATGTTAACAAATGTACCATTTTACTTTAATTTCAACTAGTTGTCGAGTGTTACTGTTATAATGCAAGTGTGTATCATTCGGCTTGCAGTTTGCATTCTGTATTCAAATTTTACGTCACAGACAGCAAGAGTGTATGATATATTACCTCAATAAATATATCAATATCTTTTGAAGTCGCAAAAAAAAGGGGATTTACAGTGACCGATCTGGAATACGTATGCATAGTAATAGCAATATTGTCTGTTTTATAGTCATTTATTATAGTAGTTAAATTTTAAAGAACATACATATATATTCCATGAAAATATGTCAACGATTTCGAGCTATTCCATTTATTTGAAATGTATTATTATAAAAGTATGAATAAACCAGCCTTAGGCAAATCTATTTTGTTTAACTATTCATTCTAGTCGAATTTAAATATTAATCCACTACTGAAGTTTTCGTCTCCCCCATACTAATTGTTTACTTTAGCGAGCGTGTACTGTATTCGGTTAGAGATGTACCGGGTGGCGAAAATGAGAAGCCCGCGAAAGTAGTCATTATGTAAACATATGCTGGAGTTACGTACGTCTTACATTACTTGTAATAATAGGGTATGTGGGAGGGCGAGAACTGATAACAAAAATATTAAATAGCGTGGTCGTCTAAACAATGACCGGAGACCAGCACGAACAGCGTCCGAGGCTATGCCAATAATAATTAAATAATACGTATACATACATATATCCACTTCAATTAAATTGAATTCAAATTACAAAAAAACACAGCGTGGATTGCTCCGCAAAATAACAAGAATACTGGCCAAGAACAGGCAGATAAATCAATTGGCTATATATGTACATATGTATGTATTAATTATTGCCGCGATACGTATGTTGTAATGGGTCTTGTATTCGAATGGCATTGATTTTTATTTCCCTTCTTTTTTCGCCAATTTCTATTTTTGTTACCCGACGCAACAAAAACAACTAGAGAAGAACGGCACTGCGGCGCGTTGCTGATCACTTTAGCTATATTTCTTCTTTTGATTTTCGCTGGAAATTATTGGCACAAGGCCACCTGTGTGATTCTTAATTTATTTATTTAATAGCTGGCATAATGGGAATTGTTTAAATTGCGTTTCTCTGGCCACTTAATTGCCCATTGCGTTTTTCCGCCAAATCTAGCTATCTGCGCATCACTATCACTTCACCGCTGACGACAGCAAATTACAATTCGACTAAAAACAAACAGTAATGTACGAGACTGACACTCGTTAAAGCTACGCGGAGTTGCGATTTTAATGACTCATCTGGGGTTATTTAACTTGTTATTAAATTAGCCGAATTCTCGGCGGTGGAACACAAAAACACACGTCCTTACATTGCGAGAATCACTTTGAAAATCGTTATCGTTCTGCTCGCAGTGCTGCAAAGCGTTCAAGTGCTGGCAGTTCTGCAAAACACCGCCAGGTTCAAACAGCTGAGACGTCGGGCTAACTTGTGTTCGGATTTGTAGCTAGACTTTTTGGGGAAAATACACAAAGCAGACAAATGAAATGACAGTGCCAAGATGTCGATATCAAAATTATTCGTGAAAGTATTCAACGAGGACATATTTGAGCAGATCGACCAGGACAACCTGTACTCCGACTTAGACGATGACTTGGAGGCCAACTGCTCCACGGTGCCAGAGCCGAAGTCAAAGCTGTCGGAGTTGTCTGTGACCAAGTTGGTACCTTCTTGCCCCCATGCCGCCTGAATAATGCTAATCCTCTCCTGCAGACAGATGACCATTGTACGAAGCTGGTTAGATGACAAGTTCCAGCAGATCCAGACGGACAGCAACGAAGAGATCCGGCGCCTCTACATGGAGACTGAGAGCCGCATCGGCCCAGATCTGACCATATTCGATGTAGACTATACGACCACCGTGCGGGTGTCCTCAGACCGCCTGGCCCTGCGCTCCCAGGGCAGCTTCAATACGGTTCGGGCGAACTGTTGTGTGTACGGCGGCCGATGGATGTATGAGGTAATCACTATTAGCGGGAGTGGGAGTGGCTATGAATTTGGGAGGGTGATTAGTGGTGGCTGACCATCGGTCAATGACTCGCCGTGGGGAGTGTGGGTCGCACGTGCGTACTGAGTACTCGTTAATATTTCCAGATCCACCTCCACACCAAGGGAGTCATGCAGATTGGCTGGGCCTCCAATTCCTGCCAGTTCAACGAAAACAGTGGCGTGGGGGATACGAAGTGGAGTTATAGTTACGACGGAAGCAAACAGCAGATCTGGCATATATCGACGAAAAAGTAAGTACCCGAGCGAAAACTTTTTCCGTTTGTTTTTAATTTAATTTAAGTTTTATTACCTTTTATCAAAAGCTAAAGTATTAAGTCTGGTTTTATAAACTTTAAGTCTAAAATCTTTAATTGTGAACCCCATTCAGGTATGGCGACAAATGGCAGATCGGCGACGTCATTGGCGTGACCCTCGATGTGGACAAGGAACTTATCGAGTACTATCGCAACGGTCGATCAATGGGCGTCGCGTTTAACAAATTGCAGAAGGGTCCCGGCATCACCTTCTTCGCCGCCATCTCCCTTGGCTACACGCAGGGCATTGAGGCGAACTTTGGCAACCGGCCGTTCATGTATCCTATTGCGGGTTTCCAACCGCTAATGGCTCGTCCCATCCTTAAATTGAGAAGGGCCAATTTGTTGATGAACTACTTGAGCAACCTTGCTGGCATCTTCTCAAAGTACAATGCACAAGCGGCAGCGTCGCCTCCGAGTGACACGGAGGCTCGGGTTTCTACAAAAAAGACAGTTTACTGCATATTCGCTACTTTGCTTATTGAGAAGTTCACGTACGAAATATTCGACCCGTACATAATCGAGGATGTGCTGCTGAACAGGATATCGGAAATGACGTCACTGGCGGCAGAGAAGGAGAATCGGCACAGCGTGCTTCAGGGACTGCTGTCGCTCTTCTGGAACTATATGGAGGGCGACGAGATCAAGTTTGTTTTGCGCAAGTTGGTTAATGGCCTGCTTGGAACCTTTACACATACGATACAGGGGCTGGACTTTGAGAAACACCGCCAGGCGCTGGGAGTACTGCACTGCCTTTGCCTGCACGAGCAAACCCGAAAGTATCTGCTGGAGCATAAGCTCTTCAAAAAGCATTGGTAAGTCCTGTCACTAGTCAGCGAACCGCGATTTAATTTTGCCTTGTCAGCATTGCTTTTTTCCTTTACATCCATCCGCTGGAGTTCTACATCATGGAGGAGCTCCTGCCTGACAGCATGGCCTGGACGGAGGGCATCGATGGGCCTAAGGACAAGTATTTAACAGTAGTGGACAAGGTGCGCAAGGTAACAGAGCCGCTTTATGTGGCGCAGAAGGACTTTCTGTCAACACTGTTGATCAACACGGATGGCACACCGGAAAGTCCGTCCAGTCGGTCCATTTTCCTGACCAAATTGCGACGTTATGTGTTTGATCTCAGTATGGAACAAAGGGTGGGTGCCGCTAATACCCTGTTGATTTTATTGGAAATTAATCAAGACAATACGTTTTTGCAGCCCTTTCATGCATTTTTCTTCATGCAGTCAAGCATCCAGCATCCTTTGGATGCACCAGTGGCCCTCGCCTTTGTTTGCATTATAGTAGATCAGGTCCGATCGATGTTCAAGGAGGAGATGCCCGCAAAGAACGTTGAGGTGAACAGCGATTATTTCATCGATGGTTCGTTTGATTACATGCACTTCGATCGCGTCGGAGGTGTCCTGTCCCATTTGCGCAAGGTACATCGGGGCGACATAGATGCTCGGCTCGGAGAGGATCGCACTCAGGAGATATATGATGATGATCGGCAGAACTTACGGGGTAATGATGTGGGTATGTCTCTTACCAATTTTAGCAATTCGTAATTGACAATATAAAACCCAAACATAAACTGATTTCCAACATTTGTAAATATTATCTTACGATGACTTTTCAAACTCAGATACCACACTTTACTTGCTGGGCGAAAACATTAACAACGTGGCTGTGGTCGGACACGCGCAGGGCGGCAATAATACCACCACATACACCCACTACTTGAATCCGCGGGCCAATGGGCCGCCAGTGGTAAACTCCGCGCCGGGTAATGCGGATATGGAAGCTAGTCTCTGCGAGCTCCTGGACCTCGCCATAATTTTCTACTATTCGGCGGGCCATAAGTACATTGTGAAGATTGCCTCGGTAAGGGATGAGATCGCTGCGCTGAATGAAGTGTTAAAGGAGACGAAGTACTATCGCGAGGATATAGAACGCAAGTTAGTGGCCCTGGAGCAGCACGCAACTGTCTGCATGAACGAGAACCACCAGCACGTAATGGGTGAGCTGCGGACCAAGTTCAGTCAGCGTCAGAACGTGTTTGCGGTAAGTCAGAACATAACAAGAAAGGAAGCTAACTTCGGCACGCCGAAGTTTATATACCCTTGCAGATAGAAATTCTATGACTAGGAATCCATACCATATAAATTAAATATATTTGTGTTAAAAAACAATGAAGTAATACCTGCTTTCATTTCATTCACCTATACATATTATATTTGCAGTTTTACATTCACAGATTTGCATTTTTCCTCTTCATCAAACGATCGTTTGTATGGCACCTATATGATATAGTCGTCCGATTTTTATGAAATTTGCCACAAAATTTAAGACTAATATAAAATGGCTACACCTCAAATTTGATGAAAATCTGTTGAAAACTGAAAAAGTTATAATTTTTAATTTTATTAATTTCTCGATCGTTCCTATGGGAGCTATATGATATAGTAGCCCGATTTTCATAAAATTTTATACAAAATTGTAGAGTATAGTAAAATGGCTATATCTCAAATTTGATCCAATTCTATTGAAAACTGAAAATGTTAAAATTTTTTTTGTAAAAATTTTCCGATCATTCCTATGGCAGCTATATGATATAGTCGTCCGATCCGGCCCGTTCCGACATATATACGAGTGAGAGTATATAGAAGGCTAACTACAAAGTTTCATTCAGATAGCTTCAAAACTGAGAGACTAGTTTGCGTAGAAACGGACAGACGGACAGACGGACAGACGGACAGACGGACAGACGGACAGACGGACAGACGGACATGGCTAGATCGACTCGGCTGTTGATCCTGATCAAGAATATATATACTTTATATGGTCGGAGGTGCCTCCTTCACTGCGTTGCAAACTTCTGACTGAAATTATAATACCCTGCAAGGGTATAAAAATTGTACATTATTAAAGCCACTATATATGGAGAAAATTTAGTAGTGCAAACGAATTAATTCAGAGAATTTTCGAAACATTTATCGTAACAGCGGCATAAGAAATAACAAATATTCAAAATAAATTGCATATACATTTTGTAGGCAGCGAAGTGCGTGAATCTGGTAGTGATTTAATAAAGAAACAACAGTCATTCTTAATGTAATTCCTAAGCTATAGTGAGCATTTAATATTAAAACAAGCAATCGCCCCTTTTGCAGACTCGGTCAATATCCCTGTCCAGAAAACAAATATGGCTTAGAGGTGTTGCACTGAACAGCCACAGAAGATCTCTGCTCATTTGGTTATTAGAGCGCATGCTGCGAACGCTGACGGTGAGCTGCAAATCATGAAATTTTATCTTAATTTACTAAACAATTTCCTCTCTGAAGACCGCTTCCGGTACCGGCTCGTTGTTCTCCTTCGTACCTGAGGTGTATGTGAATACATTGCCCATCCTGCTGGACGCCGTAATGGACTTCAGCCACCATGATTTGAGGACCCAGTTCGAGGCCTCAGATGCCGAGTGCGGTGTCAATTCCGCAGCAGAGTTCCTAGGGCAACACTCGGCGGACCCGCGCATTGTTCTCGCCTCTTGCAAGGACTCGCTACTGCAGGCTCTGGGCACACTCACCTGTCACAAGTCGGGAGTAAGGGCGTTGGAAAGGACCTCAAAGAGGTCACAGAGCGCCCTGGTTCGAGCTTTATTGCGTCCCTACGAGAATAGAGCCTGGGGTCAAAGCAACTGGTTACTGTTGCGCTTTTGGATGGGCGAGGGATATGCATATAAGGATTCCCGCCTGCCATCCGTCTGGCAAGGTGGGTCGATACCTTTGCACCAGGGACTTTGTAGGAGTCGCTCCAAGAACGAGACCCACACTGGACTGCTACACAACGTGGCCCCGGCCAATCCATCGAAGCACTTTCAACGACTAATCGGTGCCAAGTTGGTGGAAGACGAGCCCTTCGCCACTGCTTTCCTCAATTCTGTGCTAAGTCAGCTAAACTGGGCTTTCTCCGAATTCATTTTACTGTTACAGGAGGTACATATGACTGTTCACCAACCTAAAAGCTAATTCATCGGATCAATTTTATATTCGCAGATCCAGAACACCGCTCAGCGACAGGAGAACACTCTTTTCGAGCCCAAGCAACTGAGGATTTGTTCCATGTGCTTTGAGCTGACTGTGTCGCTAATGCGTTGCCTTGAAATGATTATTACAGTAGCACCGGAAGTTGTAACAGACGACTCTCGTCCAAACAGCGATCTCCTTCTAAACCGCATCTGCCAGCTAATCAGTCAGGTTCTTTCGCGCGTGACGGTGCCGCCGGGCTGCTTCCAGTTCGTGGTGGACATGTGCTCCGCTGATTTGAATGCCGTGACCCACTATCCCATTATCACTGCCGCTTTGGGCATCCTTTTAGCTCTGATGCAGGAGGAAATGGAAAACGAAATGACCCCACAGATTGTGACGAGGGTATCACGGGCATTCCTCACTGATCCCAGCTTCCAGTTCGCAACTCTTGAATTTGCACTAGGAGAAATACGAACCCCTCTGCTGGAGCAGAAGAACATTCCTCGAGGCAACTTCGATCCGTCTGCCAGACCACACATCGATCCGCTGACAAACGATGTGAGGGTACCTTTACCGAACAATTCTAAGCGCATTCGTGCAGATCCACCAATCTTAAAGTTTGCCCTTAATGATTGTGAGTATATGTCAGCCATTTGGGAACTATAGTAGCATTAAACAATAATTTATAATTTATATTTCCTTTTTCAGTTCCATCCCATGTGTCTACGGTGGAAGTTGACAATGTGCGCCGACTAATCGAGAGTCTGCGCGTTAAACAGACACTGCTCTCAGACATAACACTGCCATCGGAGGACTCACTGTGTCCCATCTGTTGCGCCAAGCCCATTACCGCAGTGTTCACTCCCTGCCGGCACCAGTCCTGCAGCGACTGCATTATGCAGCACATGATGAACTCTAAGGTGTGCTTCTACTGCAAGACCACCATTCAGACCATCGAGACGCTTGATGGCACGCTCATCTACTCCAGCGACGAGGTCGTTCAATCGCCCATGGCCGAAAGGGTCTAAGCGCCAACGCTTCCCACCGAATGCAATCGAGGAAACATTCCTGCGAGAGCACAACCAAGTCTAGTCACTACCCTTACTGTGTACATATATTCGTATATATCGTGTTGTTTCGTAAAATATTTATTTTAGTTTTATGCATGCTTGCCATAATTATTCGTTCAGATGTGATATACGCCATAGATGCAGTGTTAAGGAGTGGAAAGAAAGCCACAAGCTGAAATGAAATACGAGACAGATTCCAAATTCAAAATAAATTAAGTAGCACAATATTTGAATCTACCTCCTACTCCCTTTTTTGTTCTTTACACAGTTTTGCTGCTTTAGGTTGCTAATTCTTTTAGCTATGTATTGAGCTTGAACTGTCAGATTTGCATTTAGTTAACTACCGGCTCATGGGCCTTTAAAGTCAACACTTTACATGCATTTATTTACGTAAACAAAACCTAAATCTCGATCTCAATGTTAACGTGACAGGAATCTCAGAATATATTTCAGTTTCCAAAGAGTAAAGAAATAAAATAATTCTTAAAAAAATAAACTTATTCCCTTGTTTTGTTGGTGGCAATGAAAATTGGGCATACACAATGATATAATAACATATTTTTACGATATTGTATTGGAAAATGAATAGAAATGGTGACATATCCGAGCTATGATCATTGATTATTGTGCGTGACATTGTGGATGGTATTGTGAAGATCTTTGAAACTATATATGTACTAGGATTGAAATGGAAGCTTTGGGGGTTGGTAGTGCCAATTTACAGGAATTCAAAAATGATACAAAATATGTAATTAATTTCAGTTTTGCAATTAAAGGCAAATTCGTCACTGATGCCTTACCTCTTTAAAATGTTATTATTGTTTAATACGAGATATACACGGATTTTCCAGCATATTTTATTATATTATTAGAGCGTTAAAAAATCAATTCAACTGATCGAAATTAAAGAAATATGGTTGGACACTTAGTTGGTTCTGTATTCCTTTGGTAACATTTATTTAATATAGGCGTGTTCACATAAAATCTATTTCTTAAACATTAAGCTACTACAAATATATAGAATTTTATATAATACATATGTATATGTGGGTATAATAAGTTAGTTTATTTTGTGAGCAAACTCTGCCTCAGGTGGTTTCATGAAGGTTAATGTTTATAGTGCTTGTCTTTGTTTTTGTAGTTTTATTCCCGTTTTTGTATTGTCATTTTTAGAGGTCATTAAATTTTGAAATCTTTTGATTAATGTATACATTAATTTAAGTATGTTTGTAAACAATAGCTCGTAAACACAGTTTATACAGTTCTTAGCATCTTTAGACATCGATCGGTAAAATTGTAAAGCCCAGCTTGACTAGCTATAGTTTTTGGTTGGATAATTCGTTAAAACAAAATCATTTATATAGATATGTATATGTACATACATATATATGTATATATAGGTATATCCTTTATCTATTCTTTACACTATGAGATTCAACAACTAACTAATTCCTAATAATTGCTGACTAGTTATCATCACTAAACCAAAGCACGCAGAACATTGAGCAGAGAATCGGTATACATGATATGGATTTGGATGTGTTGATTTTCGGGCCTAAAAGTGTTGAGTGCTGGCCCGAGTGTTGTCCTCTCTACAGAATCCGACACGCGTTTGAGTGCATCCGGTGCGAGTGGCGTCCGTTTCCATGACCGAAGCCACTGCAGCACTGATGGGTAATTCCCCCGCGGGGCGAGTGCTGGAAACTCTGGCTGTTGTTCAGCTTAGGCTCCAAGTGATGGCAACTAGGCGCATGGCTGTGCCTGTTATTTAAATAAAAACAGGATTTCTTAAGAAAAGGACAAAAGTTTCCATTAAAGTACTACCCACCCATGACTACAGATGCTGGAGTCAGATATGGAGCTGGGCATCAGCCTCTGCTGCTGCTGGGGCGGTGGTGGTGGCAGGAAGAGCGGACAGCCGCCGGCAGCCAGATCTCCACCACCTCCCCGGTCATGGCCAAAGATGGCCAGTCGCATGTTGGCAGCTTTTGCCGCTGACTGGGACTCCACCTCGTGCACCTCCTCGATCATCTTATCCAGCTTCTCCATGGCCTTGGTCTGTTTGGCAGCCAGGAAGGCCTTTCGTGCTGCCTTTGACATGGAATGGGGCCTACCAGGGAAAAGTGTAAAAGAAGCGGTCAAAAACTGACTGAATACTATACTATAATCATTATAGTATAATGTGAATAGAATTGATTTTGTTAGAGTGATCAAAGAAATGTCTCAGTTTCGCAATTAATTAAATTTAGATTAGGAAAAAGGAGCATAGGGATAGGATCTATGAGAGATCTTTATTCGAAAACTCACCTGGCAGGAGCCGAGAGCGATCGATGTGGAGGAGGTGAGTGCAGCGAAATGGACGACACCGAATCCCTTGATCCCGGCCGGTTGGGGTTGCCCTTACTGGTACTGGCCTGCTGCACCACGGGCACCACCGGCTGCTGCGGAAGCGGTGGCGACTTGGATCTCATGGGACAGACAACGGCAGCCATCGCATTGGGCGTGGTGGCATCCAGACTGCTGCTGGAGAAGGTGATTTTCCTAATGAGTGTGGAGCTAGGCTGCTGGTCTTGCCGCCGAAAAACTTACTTGAGCTTCGCCGCCTTTTCGCGATCCATGGACGCACTGCTGCAGGTGGCCGTCTCCCTGGCCGGAGCCGTTGACGGAGGGGTTAACTGATCCATGGCGGCCAGTTCTTCCGGCGTAAACTTATCCGGATTACTAGGCCTCGGCTTGGGAGGTGCACTGCCAATCCGAAAGGGCGGCGTAGGACTAAAGCCACATTCGGGCGGATTGTTGTTATTATTGTTTGCCAGCGAACTCCTGGAGATCTGCAAGTCCTCGAGAAACTCCTCGGTGTCCAGGATGAGAGAGCCGAAAATATCAGAAGGCGAGCGCATAAAAACATGTCCCGTGGAATTGGAGCGGGACTCGCGACGTTTCTCCTGGTCCGGATAGACATACCCAGCACTGCCCCTTACCGGGGAATTGGCGATGCTGCGGCGAGCCACGTCCTTAAAGGTCACGGGAGAGTAGATTCGACTGTTGCGGTCATCTGGCATGGCTGCTTGTGTTCCTGAGCTTCCTGATACTGCTGCTGCAACTCCTGGACCTCCAGCTTCGGAACCTCCTGCTGCAGCCAACACTCCAGAGCCCCCAGCTGGAGCAGCTGAAGATGAAGTGCCTCCTGAAAGGCCTGCTGCAACCACCGTCTGATGGTGCAGAGTCATGTGAGCTGCTGCCGCAGCAGTTAGCACCATGCCCGACATGGTGGTAGTCGGAGCAATCACATCCACTGACGGTACGCCAGCGGGCGGGATCGCAGGTGCCACCGGAATTTTCGGAGTGACTGGCTTCGGGACCGACGGCATGATGGCCTTGGGAGTTGGGGTCACTGGAGCTGGGGAGATTGGATGAACCTGAAGGGCGGCAGTCAATTGAAGAGGCAGTCGGTTCTCGCGCTCCTCCAGCCAGTAAGTGGCCATGGTGCCCTTGCCCTTCACATCGATCTCGCCGCGCTCGAGGATCTTGTAGGAGGGACCGATCAGTACCTTCGTCGATTCTGAGATGTGCACTTTCATGGCAATGCTGGTGGACTCCATGCGCGATGCGGTGTTAACTGTATCGCCAAATAGGCAATAGCGTGGCATTTTTAAACCAACAATTCCGGCCACCACGGCTCCCGAGTGCACGCCCACACCTAGAAGAGATTAGGTGGATTACCACTAAAATAAAATTACAAATAAAGCTTAAACTCACGTATCCTCAAGTGCTGTCCAGTTGAGGGATCCTTGAGGTCGGTTATCGCGTCCACCATGTCCAGGGCCATATCACAGACTCGCTCGGCGTGGTTGGCGTCCTTGTCGGGAGCACCCGCCACCACCATGTAGGCGTCGCCAATTGTCTCCACCTTGTACACCGAGTTTCGCTCCGTCAGCTTGTCGAAGATCGAGTACATTGCGTTTAGCATGGACACCACTTCCATCGGTGTGATGCGGCTGCATATTTCGGTGAAAGTCACGATATCCGAGAACAGAATGGAGACACTATCGAACATCTGCAAGTGGAGTATAGAGATTAAATCCGCCTAAGCTTGGTATTCTGTTCGCCAGACTCACCTCACAGGTGTCGATGGGATTCTCGCCTCGTCTCAACCGATCTGCCACCTGCTTGGGTATCATCTGGTACAGTAGCTCATCAGTACGTCGCATCTCCTCATCCAACTGGAAGACATGGGGACAAACATCAATTAAGGATCTGCTGTAAGGTCACAGGCAGGGGTTCGAACCAGTCTCATGGACTCCTCCAGTTTCTTGGACTTTTGCTGCTCCTGATCCAGAGCCAACTTCAGTTCCACCGACTGCTGGGTCCCCGCCAGCATAAGATCTCTGCTGAAGTCGTGCATGGACAGATCGTTGATGTAGAGACCAGTGGTTATCAGGGAGGTTAAATCCGGCATTACGGGTGTACCCAGGAACATGATCATGCGCCAGTTTTCCATATATACCATTTGACCTATACACAAGAATGTTTCATAGGTCAAAAATTATAGTGTTATTACTCTATAAATGAGTTTATAAATTCCCAAAGAAGGACAGATACCTGCAGGAACGATAGCTTGGTAAACCGGATTACTAAATTATAAGTTATGTTTACTAAAATCCAAAAATAAGGAAATTATTGAAGCCGTTTTGGTTTACCTTTCAGCCTAAGTGACTTCTCCGGCTCACTGCCATCGTCGTGCAGAAGGAGATCCTCATTTTGGACGTCAATTCTCTCCGTAACTGGATCCACCGTGACCAATTCGAAAATATTATTGGTCCGATTTAGTATCTGGTGGTAAAAAAATGTTCTTTGTTTTTTAATTTACGCAATGTTTTGTACACTTACAGTCTGGAATTTGAATGCAATCAGGGGCCGAACTAGATCGAACCAGGCCGTGATTTTCTTGCCCAAGAGTTCCGGCAATATAACCATCAACGAGTTCCCGATACTGCGCACTATCATGTCGGCTCTGGATTATAAGAAAGCTCAATTAAATTGAATATTTTACATATAAATCTATAAAACACACCCAAAAACCATGCAGAATGGGAAGATCTCGAACAGCACATGGGCACTGATGGGCAGATGCTTCTCCTCCCTCGTCATTGCCAGGGAGGCCAAGGTGAAGGCCCGATTATCAAAGGTAAGCTGAAAGGTAACGTGGACCGTGTCGAAGAGGATTTCCTCCCGCACCAGCTCAATGTGCATCTCCTTGTGGTAGAAGTAGCGCGCCACCTCTCTGATCTGCCCCATTGTGTAGTAGACGAATCCCCGGCGCTTGGAGCGATAGTGCAGGGTCAATCCCTGCTTTGTCTCGTTCTCACAGATGAAGCTGGGAGCTCGCATCCGCGGGTACGAGAACTTCAGGTACTCGTGCAGGTTATCCAGTCCGTTGAGGAAGTCGCGCATGTGGCGACCCAGCACGGAGAGGACACGGTCGTATCCATACTGGCCCACGAAGCCCACAAAGTAGACGCCCATTTGGTCCATGAATTCCCGTTCCGAGACGCCCAGAACCTATGAGTTTCATTGTTTTATGTTAATTAGTATATTATTTTATTATTATTATTTATTATTATGAAGTGGCCCGTAAGACACCAAGTAATAATAATAGAAAAGAATACAATGAAATTAACTACCGGCGTGCTGCCAGACTATATAGACGAAATATGATCGATAAAGTCAAGTTCAGGATCCAAGCGGGTTACTAATTTGTTACACAATTTCTTATTAAGGATATAGTAGAAATTCAACTTGGGGAATATTACAAACTATTTGCAAGTATACCAATTTAACAAAACTTATTAAAATAGTTCATAATACGAAAGAGAAAAACTTTGAAAACCTTAGGGAGGTCCCAGACACTCTCCTAAATATTCATTAAGATACGAAATAAACTCATTATTTTCCCATAACTAAAAATGCATAACGATTAACCAATGGAGTCTTGTGCTTTTATCACTCACCTGTTGGGCCTTTTTGGCCAACTTCTGTAGCAAGTTCTCGGGATAGACTTGATGGACGCTAAAGGAGGGCGAATCGATGCCCGCCTGTCGTCGGATGTCCTCCCATTTCTCCTCGCCATACACAGACTTGATGTACTCGGAGAGATTCTCCAGGAGCAGGCCGTACATCTTGGGGCAGAGGGCGTCGCTTCCTAGGCTTCACTTCGCTGACATTGATGGCTGAGACCTGCTAATATAGACCGGAATCAATTGATTGACACTCTGACTGGTCACAACTTAATTAAATATACTGGAAATGTGTCTGTCTCATTCCTGGCATATAGTGAAACATACAAAACATAAAATAATATCCAAAATCCTTGACATACATTTCCGTCAAGACCTCTGCGGTTCTTCCAGATTTTTTTAATGACTTTTCTTTATGGCCTGCTGGCATACTTTTCAATAAAATGTATAAACTTCCTCAGAGTGACTGTGCATTACATACACGCCCAGCTAGTTTCAGTCTCCCTCAAAAACTGTGCCGATATTCATTGGACCCACTTGGACCATGAAATTATTGCAAAATTAATGGCTGATTTGGTTTCCATGGACCACAGCAGACTTTCGGCGCCTTCACTCCTCCCCGAATCATATTATTTTCCCATCGCTCTGTTGATTCAGCGTGTCAACGGATCCATCCATTTATTTGCCAATTCATCCGCGGAGGCAACTGTCTCGCCTGGCTTTCAACGCCTCTTTCTTGGTTTAAACCAACATTGAAGGAAATGGGAAATGGAGTGGACCAGTGTCAGGGCCACAAAATGGTAGCACGTTTTGAGGTTTTAATTTGGTTCATTTACAGATGAAAAGAAAATTGATTATTACAAAATATTTAATTGGAATGGAAAATAACAAGTATGAAAGCTATAGTTTAACCTCAAACAATGATAGACTTTGCCTAATTAAACTTAAACTTAGCATGGAGGATTGCATAGAAAAATGTTGAAAGCAAATCTTGCTAGGGATATGTTGAGTAAATGTGTCAAGCCTCAACAGCATATTTTTTTACATATACAAATTTAATTATTTGTTATATGTATTGTTACCCATCCTTATTACTTTGGCCATATGTTTTTATACTTTAGAATTGATTAAATTCATATGACCAATATATACTTGTACTTCTTGTACTATTTAAACATAAGTAGCACAGGAATGAAGTGGTCTTTGTCACTTAAATCTTTTCTACTTCGACTAACCGTTTGCTGAAAACAAAACAAATTGGCCTTCAGCGCCATAGGAAAAGCCATAAAGTACTTTCAATTAGTTGCAGTAATTACATTACATTCCTGGGCGGCTTTAGGTTGAACCGAATGCAGAATCCCCTAACTTATTCTAAATAAAACTCATTTAATCATTCATTAATACAGTGACATTTGTCGGGGAAGATGGAGTAAGCTTTCTTTCTTAGAAATGGGCCGCAACTTCATTATCCTTGGCAAGGATGGAGCAACATAATTGCCGATGGCCCGAAGGAGCTGTTAATTTAGCCAGCTTCTATCGCATTGAGGTGAGGTGTACTCAGAATTTAGCGGCAAGGACAATTGCTATTTATTTGCCCCGCTTTGAATCTGGGCTAATTAAATTGCATTCAGAGAAAATGGCACCTGGCCCTGGGTTCTAAGAATAAATTGCACTGCCAAGTTCCTCGGCACGTTGCAAATGAATAGGACCTGGTAGCATATGTTGCCTTCTTTGAATGCAAGCCGCATACACACGCTCGTCTCGATTGGCAGCTAAGTCAATTTCTCAACTGGAAATTGAGTCGTGCACTTGGATGCCCGGGCACTCCTTTGGGGATCTGCCACGCAACGCTATATAGCCAGCTAACCAACTGACAATTGCGACCAAATTACAGGAAGACTGCAAGCAGGATCAGCCAAGGACAAGTCGAAGTCACCGATGTCGAGTCGCAGTCTATGTATGTTTCGTAGGTGGTGGCAATTTGTAGAATCCCTTACTTCTACCGCTCGCACCCATAATTCACGGTGCGGATTGTTTATGGTTTATTGCCATTTATTGTGTCACAAAGTCATTTCATGCGCTTTGAACATGGCCATTATCCCTTTGCACATAAATCGCCCGGTGGCAAATCAGGAATGAAATCATAAATTTATGCATATCAGGCCAATTTATTAGAATTTGTTGCGTTGATATTTTAAGGCCAAGACAAGTGGCACAGAACTCAGTTAAGCTGGGGTTGTTTCGGGTTCAAAGATTGCTCAGACTATTTTAAGAAGTCCAATAGGAAATAATGATACCTTACCATTATTCGGAGGCTTGTTTATTTTAAAGATAAAACAAAAAGGATTTACTTACTACGCAATTGGTCTAATACTTTAGATTTCAGCATGTTTCTTCAGGAAATAAATATGACAAACAAGAACAGTATATTTGTATAATTATTTATATACATAAAGTTTACAAATCATTTTTTAATTTTGTTTTTCCAAACTCAAATAAATATGGAATTTTGTATAAACAAAGAAAGCTATATCCCTTGACGTCAACTTCTGTTTTGAATTCGATTTTTATGTTTATTTTTTCCTGTATATCGTATATTTTCTTGGCTTCCTTTTATACATAGATAAACGTTCAGATAAATCTTTGTGATATATGTATGTATATCTATAAGATACAACGATGTGTGAACTATAGAAATATATAGAAATGTTGAAAGAACACCCAAAGTACACGACAAAGAACAAGCTAAAAAATTAGACGGCAAAAAAAATACAGCCACTGTCATACCAAAATGAAAACAACCCACAAAATGTAGAGAAACTTTCGGTTTCGACCTTCTAGCATTTTGGCATTGATCAGTAGACACCCCCATAAAAAATTATACGACAAAACACTTGTGCCAAACATATCAAAACATTGTCCACATTTGTGTTGTCATCTGTGGGCCAAATAGAATTGAGTAATATTTATTCATATACTTCTTATAATTGTGTATATATGCGTATATATTTTATTACATATTTGTTTAAGACTCTCTCTCTCTCTCTATTACTCTTTGTCTCCCCCGTGTTTCATGAATGGAATGCAAAGCGAGAATAAAATGGATATTTTCATTTGTATACACTGGGAGTCAAAAATAATAAACAGGATGTACGGGTGGTATATGTGTGACGTCAGCGGACTATTGATAAACGCATGATCTGAGCCCTGAAAAAGGGGGAGGATGTTCCGGCGGAAGTAAATCACAAGCGGGTGGCCTGCGGACAGGTCGTTTACTAACCGTTAATGGCTTTCGGAACGTATTTTTAGAAGACGAAGCTTTAACGCAAAGTGACAGCAAAGCGATATTCTGTCTTTATAAGCCAAAAAGTGGCACAAGTATTAGAGCATCATCCCGTTTTGCCAGTTTGTCTGGCCATCATCTTCAATCCATCACCAGATAATTTTGCGACAATATTCAAGGTCAGCTTCATGCCATTTCCATATAAATAGACATTAATTTGTCGCCTTAACTGCATTGACCCTTGTGTCCTTGGGGATTAGAAAAGATGAAAGCAGAGTATTTCTATTTGGAAAATAACGTCTAAAATAGAGGAAGGAAAATATGCCAAAATACTTTTTTTTTCTCTATCAATTTTCCAGTCTGGCATTCAATTTTAATGAAATTATAAACAAAATCAGTTTAGAATGCACATAGTGTCTGAAAGCCAAATAAATTATGGAAAGCAATCCCCCGCTGGCATTGAGCTAATGTACAGATCGCTCACTATATGTACATAGAGCCTATGTATATATTCTTCTCGTAGCCCCCTTCTCCGGAACACTCCCGATCTGCAATTGTGGGGCTGCAGAAACAATTAATTTTCAAGTTCATTTGCGTGGGTCGATGTCGGTTCTTCTGGGGAGCTGAGCTGAGCCGATCAGACCCTAGCTGGCCATAGACTACATAGACTATAGATACAGATTTCAGCTGCAAAATCATGCGAGAGGAGAACCTATATCCACACGATCTATCGGGTACACATATTTATTTTTATATTTCGAGAAAAATTCATTTGAAGGTGTCTGCTATATGTTAAGGTTAAACATTGTTATATATAGACTCGGCAAAACTATGTATTAGTGCCGCATTATGTGTGTATTTATATTCGGTTTGAATGAGGGAAAGCTTTTCGGCTGTGGCATCGAAGACCATTAAGCTCTATTTATGAGTCCCCAGATGACGACCCAGGCTAAAAACAGGAACTCTTTTTTTAAAAGGTTAAGTTTGTTTTGACGAGACTGGAAATAGGACAGAGGGGATAGTTAGCAAAGTAGTTGAATTCATATAATAATTAACACCCAAATGGTTTTAAAGCATTTATTAGGATTTAGGGGAGGACTTTATGAGTAGAGCATCCAAAAGCAATGCAAATAAAAAGTGTGCAATTTTGAAACAAACGGATAAGGCTTATTTATTTTTGCTTATCTGCTATGACTCAAAATTATATTTGTAGAATATTTCTTCTTGCTTTTGTGGGCTGGGTGAGGCCAAAACAAATTGCTCATACGCCACGCTGACATTGTAGAATCCTTATAATTCGCTTTTCGTTTAGTTTCATTTGATTTCACTCGAGAAAATTACAGGCGACCTTCACATTAAGGAGGCGATTTATTAGAGACCAAGTGCGAGAGTAATAAAATGTAGATAAATTATTCGTTGGAATTTTTAAGAATAAGTAGGAAAGCTGCAGTGCTGACTGTCTTGGTACTTGGTACCCAAAAATTAAATGTCTACATGTGTTCTAAATTAAGGTATATCTAGCATAAAAGTTTACAACTTTCATGGCGGAATGTACAAGAAAATGTTGATAGCCAAATGTTGCTAGAAGCAAGTTTAGCAACACAAAAACTTCAACAACCTTAATTAGCGCGCACTACGACTATGTGTCCACTTTGTAGATCCAACTCTGAAAACCTCCGAGATTCATTGTCTTATTTTATTAATAAATTAATAAAATGTAGTGGATACATTTTCTGTTGCCAATAAGTCGTAACACCCTTGCACTGTATGGGAATACAGGTAAAAACAAGCACCTCTGGTGAATGTACATAATTTATAATTGAGTTGTGCACATACAATATACAATGAAATATGGGGCGTTCTATACGACAAATTATTCGACATTGTTTGGCATGTGCGTCTCTAAATAATGAGCTTACATTTTGACCTCATTTCTCAAG